AATGGACGTCAAAACAAATTTATCCCCGAAAGATCCGCCGGGTGAAGCGAATTGAAGCAATAATTATGCTTCATTAATCGGTTCCTTAATGTATGCCGCGTGTGCAACAAGGCCAGACATAGCCTTTGCCGTAAACAGACTCGGAGCCTTCACGGCAGATCCCGATTTAACCCACTGGACGGCTGCCAAACGCGTAATAAGATATTTATCAGGCACAAAGAATCTCGGAATAATATACCGCAGAAAAGCGAAATCAAACCTAAAAGGGTACACAGATGAGATCGGATTTGATGCCGAACATATGATCAGACCACACGCGTTCTCCGATTCGGATTTTGCAAACCAATCAGATAGAATATCCGTATCTGGCTATGTATTCATGTTGACTGGAGCAGCCGTCACATGGAGATCCAAAAAACAAGTCGCTGTTTCGTTATCTACAACAGAGGCCGAGTATATTACGATGTCATTCACAGCCCGAGAGGCCATGTGGATAAGAAACCTATTAAACGAAACGGGCTACCAACAAAAAGGGGCAACGACAATATATGGAGATAATAAATCTGCTCTGTCGCTGTCCGAAAACCCCGAATTTCACGAGAGAACAAAGCATTTCCAAATCAGACATCATTATATTCGTGAAAGAGTAAAAGAAGGAGACATAAAAACAAAGTATTGTCCTACCAATGACATGACGGCGGACATACTCACAAAACCTCTCCCGAAACCGAGACATAACCAACATGTCGAAGGACTTGGACTAGACTCGGATTGAGGGGGAGTGTTGGGAGATGAATAAAAGACATCATGTCACTCCCGACATGTCCGAGACGTCGGATACCTGGGCACTGCCCAGACATGCGTAGAAACTGCGCATGAGGCTCCTGTGTGGAGCGATTACTAAGAAAAGCTCCTAAAAAGTAAATAGAAGCCCCTGAACATGATCCGATGCCAATCCGAGCAGACAAGTCCAAGAGACTAGTAATATATTAGCAATCCGTAGAGGAGAGTACTCCTAATAGCCAATACAAACGAAAGACTAGTATAAAAGTAGTCTAGAAGTGAAGCAAAACTTTACCAGCGCAGACACCTCACATCCGCGCGAACCCAAAACCTATATGTCCGACGCCATTGTATCGACAAGTCGCCTACTACGACCCACATGTCACGTCAGTCCTGCGCTGCTCATGTCGAATGTCCTAAGCGAGCGAGGCCCCTTTACAAAGTTCATGGAACTCTCTGTTTCGTGGTCATGAGGATTACTTACCTTGATTTGCATCCCTTTCATGGCGGCTGCGTAAACTCAGCACCACCCACGGCCCTATCATGGTCAAAAATATGATTTGAAGAACTTGGGCCACACTTCCATATATGATGGACTAAAAAAACGCCCAAATAAGCTCGTAGGGTATGAAATGGGCAATACACACGCTTACACGGCCGGCTGACGGGATATAGATAAACATCTGGAATCCGATGCCCAATACAGCTCTAAAACCTCGTTATACGCCACGGTTTGATGTAAAGTTGAAGGATTGACGTACATCATGAAATAAACCAAATTATCGTGGACTACAGTAGCAGCCAAAATACCGGTAGACTTCCTCGGGGATATCCAGAAATGTCTCGGTATATTCTTGATTGAGTAGCGAATTGCTAATCCAATAAGAAGTATATCGTACGCCAGCTCGGTTCTGTTTATTGCTGGAAATGACCATAGCGTACTCGAAGGTGCAGAATGTTCATAGAACTTCACGTCTGATGCGCGTACCGGTGCTTGAAAAATAGTGAGCTATACATCAAATGCCAATATGACAAAGGTATTAACTGGCCCATTACCTATGTATCTGGGGAAATATACGAATGACAGGACGCTATTCAAGATATTCATGGCTTGAGAGACAAAAAATTCAACTGCCAGTATGATGAGGGTTTTCTTCTCCTTGTCGTAAAGAACGTAGACACGCATAGCCAAAACTCCTGTATGGCATCATTACACGCACTGGAACCGAGTCGCATACTGTATCAGTTACCTTGTGAAGCAATAACAACACAACGACCTGAATAACAGAGCCTGAAAGGGTCACAACAACCTCTGTAGCAAACATCAGCATGATTTTAAGATGGTGCTGGACTTTCCCCCCAAAAACGGCTCCTATGTCTGGTACGAGTCAGCAGGAGAACATGAAAACGGATAAGGATACACGTACGTCTTGTTTCAGGGTTAGTGGTCAATTGGACACGTCGTTACTCAGCACTTAAATGCGGGTAAGTAGCTACGTACTTCCTCTGTAAACGATCTGTTCAAGCTTTGCACTATTTCCCAAACGCGATTGAGCTTAACACTTGAAATATGTCTATACGACTTACGCAGCAATGTCCTCATATCAAGTTCACGCACAGGTCTATCCACAAGCTTATATTATCGCATGGACGATTGGCTCACACTCTGTACACCATACCGCCATAACGAAGCTACGCGGGATTTCATCTAGTAACGCGAACCTTTAAATGTGGCATGAGACGTACAATCGAGTATAAGAGAAGTCACAAAGTAAGCACCGTAAGGAAAGTCAACTTCCAAGAATTCTCACCTATTTATGTGCACATGCTACTCCGTGCGGCTTTTATCGTGAGGGCCGCTGATTACAGCCACTTTCACATCTGGGGCTGGGGCCGATCCAAGTTAGTGATCCGTCCACTCCACAACTATCAGGAGAGTCGCAGGAGTATCATCCAAGCAACTTGCCAAAAATCAATGTCGCTCAGCACGCATGGACGTGGGCAGTTCGTCGTTTCGCTCAATATGGTTGTCGACATGCTGTTGTTCTGGAAAAGGCAGTCAACAATAAGCTCGATTGAGGGGTATAACTTCACTAAGCCCTTTGTGGCCACTTCAAACACTAAGTTTGTCGTGATTACTATTCAACAAGCCTGATACGTGCAGAAAGTGCGGGTCAACACCCTGTTGTGACTGGAGGCTCAGTGTTTTCGGTGATCCACCCACAAACCTGTCCATCTCTCTGCCATCTGCCCAGCCTGGTTATCATTTTGTCACTATACCCTTGGCTGACACGAGAGGTCTGTACACCCTGTGTCCATATTTTGTTATCTGACGACGAAATGGGCCACGATATACGGGCTTCTTGGATGTCAACTCTCTCTCCATCTCACACAGCAAGAATAACGCACCTTTAAGTTTCATAATAATTTCTCTGTGGATATGGGCCCCGCCTGCCGAGGCTCAGGCTCGCTGTGTCGATGTACAACGCGCCCAACTTTGGTTCGAAGAGGTTATCCTGAAATCCTTGGGTGCTTCATCGTCGCATATAGTGCTCGACACGACTGTCGCGGAGTGTAGCCTCTTGTGCTGGGTTCGCAGCTCGAGTGAGTGGGATACGTGGCGCGACAGCTTGCGACGGGCAGACTCGTTGTGGCAACGTGGGAAATCAGCTAGGCGCCGGTACATTACTCGTATCTTCAATATTTCTGCCCGCTTTTGTTTGGTTTTTTGTTTGTACTCTTGATCAGATCCCTTTGAGATCAGATTCGCTCTCGATCCGGATATCCTCAACCATTTTGGGCCATACTCCCGTTGATAAGATAATGGATTCTGAACGCTTTGTTCGTCGCCATCCTTTCCTCCCTCCCTCCCTCCCCTCCCTCCCCGTTTTCGCACCATGGATCCTTTTAATTGTAGAGTCGGTGCGTCTCTCAATCCTTGCGACGTCTACACTCACTTACTCCATCCCTACCAGGACCACGGTGCAGATCTTCGGTGCGTACCACACCCATCGCTTTCAGGTTATTAACTCACAATGTAATGCTCGTAGATGACGACTGCACGGTCTTGGCGATTTCTATATCTGAGTCTACAGTCGTTTCGCTCGTGATCGCCCCACCCTCGCTTCAGATGCAGAATCTGTAGGTACACCCTCTTGCTCGACACCATCCCCCTCCGTTGATAATGTCTAACACAGAAACTCGCCATCCGTGCATACACGCTCATTGCAGGCTCAGCCACAGCAAGCTCGGGCCCTGTCTCTCGGCGTGCCCCTCTCTGAAACTCCCTCACTCATGGCGTCCATCCTTTCCTCTCCCATGGCTCTTGCTACCGTGAGTGCGTACATTATCTCACGTCTTCACCTATGCTTAGTACTAGCTGCTTTACAGTATTGCAAGTCCCTGCCTCACTCACATCCCGGCATCCAATGACAGGTAACGGGTACCTCATTGCCTGTGCAGGCGCCAGAAACCTCCCAGTAAGTCACATCCCCGATTGCTAACACTTCCGTGCCGCAGGATAAAGCCCTGTTGCCACGTTTGGCTGTGCGCCATACCAAACGGTCGGTGGCCGTTGCACTCGGCCGCCTTCGCAGCCTCTCCCGCAGGTATGCCTCTGCGCGATCACTTGATCTCTGATCCCTACGCATGTCCCAATACCAACCAGATACCGCCCATGAAACGGGCCTTAAGTAATGTCAATGTAATGTCGGTAAGCCCTTTCGGTCTCAAATTTCCTTATCCTCTTTTTCCTTCTCTTTGCCCATTTAGGAATGATCTGGCGAAGAAGCGGAGGTATGTATGTCTTCCGGTATATCGTATCGTAGTTGTAGAGTTCCTTTGTTCATAGGCTATATTGCTGATCTTCGTCGATCTCACTCAAATTTAACTGAGTCACTGCCTACGAAGGTCAATTTGATGAACTAAACCCTGCTAAACCTCCAACGTCGAAGCCCTGGGGGCTAGGTATAGCTAAGAATGACTTGGCAAGTACATGGCGAGTCACACTTCTGAGGACGTTATAAATGTGATGGCCATGTGTGTGGATACGCTTCAAGGTGTGGTAGGGAAAAAAATGTTTCTTGATAGGTCCTTATGTAGATGTCATGCTAAACTGGACATCGGAAACAATGGTTGTCATTAGCTCATTGTTGTCTGTTGGGAATCAACCATCCCATGCGTTTACTTCTACCACACGTTATGTAACGAACGTTCGCTTTCGGAGGGGCGAAGACGTTGCAATACTTATATTGTCACCATATGTATGCACGCTTGAACGCACCCCGCGCTTCGGCGCCTATCTTATCTCACATCTTGATGTTGCACCATCATACTACATATTGCAATATCAGTGATCGGTTTTGGGCACCAATTCTTATTGTTGAGCACCTGTCAAAGGTTTCACCCGTTCCCAATGAAATATTGTCATACGGACAACAGTGCTAATTGTTATGTTGTTCAATTTTTGCAGCAATATGTTTCCGGGTGTGCGGCTGGCGTTGAATTGCTGTATGTCTCAACAATGCAAGCCGCAGTGTAACGCAGGCATAGTCTGTTACCCGTTGTGTGTAGATAGTTAACTGTTACTTCTTCAAATCGTTGAATGCATGTATATGTGTACTCTGTCAGATTAATGAGTCTAACCCCGGTATTTACTTTGGTTGAGATGCTCTGCTGATGGTACCTATTCCTGAATCCCATCAATATCCCAATGAAATAAGTATCGTGCTGCCGACAAAGGTTAATAGATCTGAAGGGATAGATCTAAAGGTTCAGGAAACCTTACATAGGTTTTTGTTCGTTTGATACATCACGGTTACAAAGTGCAAGCTCCCTTATGACAGGTCCAACCGACTTGCCGAGACACGGGAGGACAACTATCAATATTGGAAAACTCATGGAGCAAATGAGATTCAGTTGCATAGCACCGTGACATGGTAGGCCGTGCCGTGCCAGTTGTCTAGAACCTGTCTGATTCTCTCACATGTAGCAGACAACAGTTCATAGTACGTGCTCTGATTTTCACGTCTTCACCGGTACCCATTAATTGTGCCGTAGCGGAGCACGGCATGTCTTGTAATGCATAATCGACGCGCAGGGCTTTACTATGCAACAAAAGTATCCTTCTAACCATATGAACAACCAACACCGAAACACGTGTTCTACCCGAGCTTAGACAATAAAGTATTAAATTTCACGTACACACCCGAAGCAAATATTTCCTCAGGTTACTGGGAAGTATACGACACGATTGACACCTGTTCACATCTGTACACGACCGTGCATACTCGTAGTCGAAGTCGCTACTACTTCTCCACCATAGCTACTACTTGAAGCAGCGTGCGATGGCTGCAGTCCTATGCTACACATGGTGTTCGACGTCGCAAGTGAGCGAGGGCCACTTCCAAAGTCAATCTCAGTTAGCTCGTAGCTGCCGCTAAGATCCTGATTCGTATCCCTTTCGTGACGTTCGCGTAAACTAAGTGCCATCCATGGACCGACCATGGAAAGGAACATTATCTGGAGCACTTGCATCACGCTGCCATACACGACTGACTAAGGCAACAAGTGAGTTAGCTCCGACAGGGACATAGTTGGAGATAGACATAGATTCTCACGCCATTGGCCGCTGGAACGTAGTTGAACATGTTGATCCCAATCCCAAATAGAGCGCTATCGTCTGGTCAGAACGTGTATTTGAGTGAAGATAAGGGTCGCACGTACATCAGAAAGTACACCAGATTATCTCGGACTACAATCTCAGCGAGCGTTCTGGAAGAGCTCCATGGAGATTTCCAGAAGGGCCTTGGGAGATATTTCATCGAGTAGCGCACAGCTAGGCAGCTGAGGAGCAGTTCGTACGCCAGCTCGATGCTGTTTACCGTCGGCGACATCCACACCCAGTTTGAAGTCGTGAAGATTTCGTAAAACTGAACACCCGAAACACGGATTGGCCCTCGAGAAAGAGTCAGCCAGTAGCTCAGACGGAGTGGGCTTGATGGTGTTCTATTCACCTATCTCGCTGGGGACCACCACGAACGCGATGACGCCTGTCAAGATATTCATAGCCTGGGAGACGAGGAATCCAATCGCCAGTACGACCATGATCTTCCTTCTCTTTCCATACAGGATATATACGCGCATAGCCAGAAGTCCTGTTGGAAATCAGGGTGTGTCAAGATGAACGTAGCGAATCGGTCACCTTGGAGTAAAAATATCACAACGGTTTGGCTCGTTGTGTTGAGCAAGTCCAAAAATGCAGCTGCATTATATCTTTCAGTGAGCTGAAGAGGTCGGAAACGAAGTACCCTACGCCTGGCAAGAGTGAGTGGGGACGCGGATCTGGTCAGAGTAGAATGTTCCTACGTCTTATATCAAAGTGAGTAATCAGCCTCAAAGGCAAGTATAATATACGCACTCTTCCCGGTTGAGGTATGCTTAGGCTTTGTACTAGCAGATATAGCGTTCTTGAGCATTCGAGAGATTATGTGCGTAGTACTCACGCAATCTTGATCTATCTCTGGATATTTAGACCTGCTGGTGTTTTTCAGTGCGGAATGACTTACACTCCGTACATCAACCCGACATAACGCAGCTATGTGAACGATCCTTCAAAATCTTAGCCACTACTGATAGGCTTCACATACCATGGCATATAAGAGCGTCATTTGCGTGTATTTTTTGGCCTACATCAAAGAGTCAATCAGACCTAGGAGATCTAAGAAAGAGGGACATACTGACCCATATGATGTCAATCTGAGCGAAATCAATTTATATTTCATGTCTCGCGGGAAATATGAGAAGACATACCTCGAGTCCCAGGTTCAATACTAGAAGCAATACGTTTCAATGGGTGCTAATCGCGACCTTCGAACGCTCACCATAATCGTACGACATCATTGCAAAAGCGGCGACTGAAGCGGTAAGTTGCGACTTAAGCCTTAACTCGTGAACGCGAATAAACGAGACTTACCAAGGCTATAGTTCTCTATGAGTTGTAGCTCAACAACCATCAAAATCTCCTCCGCCTCGTTGGACGCCATCGTGGAAGAGAGGAAGTGAAGGGAACCCGGCTCGCAACCCCAAATCGCATACCACTGTTTTCTATATTAGTGAACACGTTTTTCGGCACGGCCTCCATTCTGACGCCCGATGTCAGGTTACTGTGTTGCCGTTTTGATGCCGCGAGTTGTAACGTTCGACTGAATGGATCTGCCGGGAAAAGCACGATCACAACATATGGAAGGCAGCATCGCGCGATGGGCGCGCTCACATGTCCACTTTCTGATCATCAACCAGGTGGCGTTTTGAAATGTCTATTCCTAGAAAAAGGCGCGAGTAAGGCCAAGCTCGAGCCTAATGGTACAGGAAATGCGCTCACTGATGTGCCGAGGATCAGTTGCATCAAGGTGTCCCGCTGCCCACGAAACGGGTTGCTCAACAAAAGGGGCATTGCATCAGAGGCGAGAGCGGGCGAAACTCGTCAGCTCGGGTATCTTGTATCATGGGAAGTTAGGTAGTGTATGCAAGAACGAAACACCCCCGGCAACTATGGACCACGACAAACATGCTGTATAAGTGTAAAAAAAAAACGCAAAAAAGATCAATATCGCCTTCTACCCGTCCAAACCGATTAGTCCGTCCGCCCATCCAGAGAGTGTAAATCAAATCCTCAACGACAACGAAGGAAAACATCCCAGACATATGCAAATGACACCACGTTCTCGGACTCACAAACACCACCCAATCGCACTCCCGATATCCCTGATCGTCCTCTTCTCGCTCAGCTCCAGCGCGCGCTTCAAACACACCCGCTCGCGGTCCTTGCGCCCCTGGAGCCCGTACGCCTTCGCGAGGAAGTACCACGCCTCGGGCACGTTCCACCCCGCCGTCTTGGTCGCGTACGCGAGCATGCCCGCGCTCAGATCAACCTTGTCCTGCTCCACACTACGGCCCCCGTCCACTTTCTCTCCACCGGGGCCGGAGGAAGAAGAGACGTCGGCGGTGCCGAGGTGCATCCGGCAGAGGTGCACGGTGGCGGATATATCGTCCGGCGCGAAGAACAGCGCCTTCTGGAACGCCTCGACGGCTTGCCGGTCGTGGTTCAGCGCGTGGTGGTACAAGCCGAGCTACACCAGAGATCATGGTCAGAGCGATTCAACGGATTACAAAGGGCAAAAAAAGGGAATGCAGCGATAAAGGTGAAAATGAAGACAAAGACACGCGCTGCTCACCTGCACCCACACGCTCGGATTCTCCCCGTCCTTCACCTCCGCCTCCTGGATCGCGCCCTTGGCCTGCTCGATCTTGCCCTCCCGGCGGAACGTTGCCGCGCTCATCGCCCACAGCTCGCTCAGCAGCCTGTCCTCCGCCGTCGCCGGCGCCGGCTTTGTGCTGTTCTCGGGCGCGACGGGCCGCAGCGCCGGTGGTGGCGGTGGCGGCGGCGACTCCACGTTCGGCAGGCTGTCACGCCGCTGGCGGATGACGGAGCGGATGCGCCGGCGCGAGGCGATGGACGAGGCTTGGAAGGACGCGCCCTGCATGACTGCAATGAAGTCTAATACAGCGCAATCCCTGGTTAGCGTTTTCACCTTTTGAGAGCGAATGCACAAGGCCAACACACCAGGTGCAGAACTCGATCTCCGCAAGCTGCCACCTCTCCTAACGACATTATGCCCGATCTTCTTCGAGATCGTGCTGATCTTCTCCTGCCCCTTGTGTACCCTGTTCTTCAGCATCTGCTGCATCTTCTTGCCCGCCGACGGATCGCCGCCGCCGCCGCGCTCATGCGCGGACGAAGCCTTCTCGAGCGTCTCCTCCATCGAGCCGTACGGGTAGCTGGGCTCCGCGGGTGTTCCGGGCGTGACGGTGATGGACGGCACGGAGTCCGGAATCGGGAGGGTGAGCGTGTTCCCGTTCGCGTTCATGTTCGCGCTGGTGTTCGAGTTCGTGAGCGCGTCCTTGTCGGACACGATGCCGTTGACCATCGACCTGGTGTCGTCCCTGGACGAGTCGGGCGCGAGGGAACGACCCGAGACGGACGGAGAGGTGATCGAGGGCGCACGTGTTGTCGCGAAGGACTGGCCGCCGGTGGTGTCGATCGACGAGCGCGCTGTGTATTCGCGGTCATTCAGCCGATCAATTTAATCTAAATTCGATGATTTAAATAGCGAGTCACGAACGTACCCTGCGCTTCGAGCGAAGCGCTCGCCTTCCGCTCCGCCACCCACGAGAACACATCCACCCACTGCACACCCGCGCCCTCTGGCCCTTCCACGTGCTCGATGAGCGCCATCTGCGTCATCCTCAGCTGCAGCGCGTATGCGAACGCATCTTGAGGAGCAGCGACCGGGTGATCCGGAATTCCGTGCAAGAGCGTCCCGGCAGGTGGAAGCGCCGTCGCATCGCGGGCTATGAGCATCTGCGGAGGCGCCCGTAGTGGCTCGGGGACAGGCGTCGACACACCCGTCCCGTTCGACGATGACCGGTCGGCAGTCGACGGCGCAGCCAACGATGACGACCCAACGAGACTACTCCCAAACCCGTTCGCCTGCTTCTCAGCTTCAAAGTCCCGCACCTTAACTCCATCCTCGGGCATGAGCGCCGCCCCGCCAGCACTACCGTTGAGTGTACCCACAGTACCCTCCTCAAGCACAGGCGCCATCAACGCGCCACCGTCCACCTCAGCCTCATCCGGCTCGCCAATGTCCGCGCCGACGTCCAACACGCCCTTGGCCTGCGCCCACTGCCCGTTGGCGGTGAGGAGCAGCGCGAGGAGGTGCCAGTAGCGCACCTCGCTCGGCTCGCTCTCGACGGCGGCGCGCGCCGCGCTCACCGCCTCGTCCATGTTCTGCGTCGGACCGGGCAGGGAGAGCACGACGGCGCGGTGGTGGTGCGCCGCGGGCGTGGGGAACGTGCCGACGGCCTTGGTGAGTTGCACGAGGGACATGGAGAGGCGGGCCGGGCGCGTGTGCGGGTTTTGTTCTGTGGTATGTGTGCAATGTGATCAGCTGCTGTATAACGTATGACGCATTGGAGATGTGACGGGTACGAACGCACCTGTGAGCGCAGCGACCAAGTTCCACACCCCTTCAGCGAGCGCCACGCGCGCAACCATCTCCTTATCGTCCTCGTCTAGCCTCTCCTTGGCCTTCTCGATGCACGCCTTCGCCTCCTCCGTCTCCTCCGCGCCTCCGCCCTCGCGCGTAAGCTTCTCGAGCGCGAGCCGGCAGAACATGCGAGCGCCGCCCACGAGCGTCTCGACCCAATGCCTGTCCGTATCCTCGTTCACGCGCAGCCCGGCCTGCCGCGCCTTGCCGACGACCTGGGTGTACAGCCGCAGCGTGCGCCGCGCGAGCGCGACGTCGCCGGACACGTACAGGAGCCGCGTCATGTGCCGGAAGACGCGGTACGAGTTGAACGTGAGGCGCGTCGCCCACCACAGCACCTGCCATCATAATCGGTAATCGCTCGTCAGGGTCAAGACCGAGCCAGTCAATAACAGGGAAACACGTACATCGAGCACCCATCTCGCGCGATCTGGCAACGCACCCGCCGCCTCCCACACCGCAACACACAGATCGACAAACTCCTCCACCTTCACGTTCTTCTCCCCCGCCTTCGGGAACCTCGTCGACGCACCCAACACGGCCCTATAGTCATTGATCACCGATCGTGCCGTCATGAGCCACTCAGGGGGCCGCTCGCCCGTCAGCGCCGCCTTCTGCGCCGTCGCGTTCGCGTTCGCAGACAACGAAGCAGAAGGTGAGCCGAAGCGGAGGACGAGCGCGCGGAGGTGCAGATGCGCGACGGTGCCGCGGCGGTGCGGCTGGAACGTCTCGGGCCAGTGTGCGGAGCTGTCGTGGTAGTGCGAGAGGAGCGTCCACAGCAGCGGGTCGTCGAGTGGGCGCGTGCGCGATGCGAGTGCGATGGCGCGGAACATGATGCGCTCGGTCCAGCGCCAGAGCTCGCGGTAGGGCATGAACGAGGCGGAGGGGGACGAGGACGAGGAGATTGTTGCGCTCCGCGCGGATCGTGGTGGGCGCGGCGAGAGGGTTGTAGGTGGTGCGGGTGCGAGGGGGAGGTCAAATTTGATGGTGTTGATGAGCGGGAGGGCGGATGCGTAGGCTTTGAGCGCGAGCTCATGTTCGTCGGGGGAAAGCTTCTCGAAAGACATGCCTGTGGAATAGATTAGATGAGGAAGAACAAACATAGATTGAGACGCACCCTGCAGACACAAGCTCCTCATCGACTCAGTCATTGCCCATGCCCTGCCGTCCTTGATATCCGTTGGCGTCCCATGAGAGTCGGTGCTAGCAAAGCTTCCTGTCCACGTATCTGTCCATGTCGAACTGCTTGACGCTGTCGATGAAGGCGCGAGGAGGCCAGAAGCGTTCGAACGCGTCGACCCTTCAGCAGGGACATGCGCGTTTGCATCAAAGATATGCGAGACCTTGGCTATATGCCTCAGACAGTCACTCGGCTGTCCAAGGGCATATGCGTAGTATGCAAGAGCAAGATGAACGGACTAGAAGCAAGCAAAGCTGTTAATCCAAAATGACTGAGAGCAAAGAAAGAAACGCACGTCCAAGCCCTGCCCCTCCATCCTCCCAAGCGCCTCATACCCCCTCCTCGCCTCCTCCCTCTCCTCCTCCGCCGCCGCACTCCCCAACACCAGCTCCTCACCCAACACCAGCCCCCCATCGTCCGCATCCTCCCCTAGCTGTACCCCCGCCTCTCCTCCCTCAGCCACACCCTTCCCCCCACTGCGCTCCCTTTGCGCACACACACAAATCAACGACGCCAAGCTCTGCGTCTGCGCCGCAATCCGCGCAACGTCCTCAAACCCCTTCACGTGCTTGTTGAACTTGCGCACGAGCTCGGGCCACGGCAGCGCCTCGCCCCGCGGGTCGTGCGCGGGCGCAGGCGACGTCCACTGCCCCGCGGTGAGCGCCGCGCGCAGCTGCGACCAGTAGTGCTTGTCTTTGGTCTGGGCCATCCCGGGTGGTTATCCAATCTGCGCGGATGTGGGTGGTCGGTGGTCGGGAGGCAGGCAGGCAGGTCGATGACGATCGATGAGATGGCGACACCGTTGGACGCGGTGCGAACGATAACCGTGCTGTTCTCGGAATTAGGAAAATGCAAGAAAGCAAGTCAGTGGAACTAACACCCGTTCGACGCGAGGCAGACAAATGAGCGCGTCCACGTCCACCACGTCACAAATCAATAATTTCCCCATAACAAAAAATTAAAACACACGACAGCTGCGCATCGGCTATTTGTCGCTTGCTTGTATTTCCCTCACTTTCATGATCTCCGAATCAGACGCAACAAACGTAAAGTGAAGCCAAAACAGGTACCTACGTATGTATAAACCTAACGAGCGTACGTATCACATCCGTATCCTAGAGGACAACTAATACCGTATCAGCGAACGAGCGTCCGATATCATGGTGGGTGGGGTGGGGGGTGGGTATGTACATGTATCCTCCACATGCTACTGTGTTGTGGTATTACGATTATATAAAAAACGTCAAACAAGGACGAGGACGAGAATATCAAGGAAATTTAAGGAAGGGGAAAGGGATATTAAACCGAAGGTATGAAGCCGCGCGGGTCGACTGGTCGGCGGGGAATAGGTGATCTATACAATATGCAAGGTGGAAAAATGCGGGATATTGGGGAGGCATATGTGGTAGCGAAAAGGAAACGGGAAAATAAGAGACGATGAAGGAAGAAAAAAGGAAAGAGAGAGAGAGAGATGACGAGAGTGGTGAGGAGTGATACAAAACAACCAATTCGAACAACTATCGTCGCGGGGTTGAAGTGTATCAGACATAAAATCAGGGAATAAAACGGCATACGCATATCGACACATCCGCGCGCCTCATCTTCATCTTCACGAGCGGAATCAGCACCATCGGGACGCTCACGGACCGCACCGCCGCTCGCCAACAACAGCATCCATCCACCTCACAAGCAGCTGCTCGAGCATATCCGCCCATCCCTCCTCCTTCCTCGCGACAACGCGCGGATCGAACATGATCGGCGGCTCGCTCGTCTTCATCGACCCCAGCCCCGACCCCAGCAGCACCGATCCCGGGCCCAAGCTAAACCGCGCCTTGGTCGGAGATCCGGGCGTCGACCCCACCGGCGTCTTGCTCAGCTCGGTCGTGCCGGAGCGCGGTGTGCCCGGCGGCTGGGCGCTCGCGCTCGGCGTGGGCGGGACGACGACGGGGAGCAGGTAGCGGAGTTTCAGGGCGCTGAGCATGGTCAACACCAACAGTCAGAATTGAACGTGGTATACGAAGAGAAGGAGCAGGGATAGAGAAGACACTCACGCAGCCCACAACCGCAAATTATCCGTCCGCCGGAACGTCCACCCCGTCCTCGCGCCCTTCGAGTTCGAAGTCGAGCTCCCGTCCCCGCTCGCGTTCGCGTTGGCATCTGCCTCGAGCGCGACGATGTCGTGGATCGAGTCGACGCTGATGTACCCCCACGGCTTGCGCGAGCGGCGCAGCGCCGCGTTGTACGCCACGCACAGAAGTTGCCCGGACGAGAGGCTCTGCAGAAAGTCTTCGCGGTTCGACGCGGTCGCCGCGAGGTGGGGGGCGAGGTCGGCGGGGAGGAGTGCTTGCAGGAATGCGTGGGCGCGGCCTAGTTGACATGGGATGGATAATAGTGTAGTTAGACATAAGCTCATCGAGCACTGAGACAATGCCACTTGAGACACGCCCAGAGGTAGACAACCGCTCACCAAGCGCATCATTCGCAAACATCGACCGTTTCGCCCACTCCGGCAGATCCTCGTCGTCCACCACACTTTCCTCCCCGTCCTCGTGCTCCTCTTCCAGCGGCTCCGGCTCCTCCGACAGCACCAGCCCGCGCATCTCCGCGGTGGGCGGCACCCCGCCCATCGAGACGACTCTCCGGGTAGGCGGCGGCGGGAACTTGAACACCTCGTTGATCCCCTCGGTGCTGCTCACCCGCCGCCCCGCCGCCCGCCCCAGACTGTCCTTCTGCTTCTTCAGCACCTTCTCGCTCGCCCTCTGCCACCCGCGCATCCCACTCTCGCTCTCTTTGCTCTCCTTAGCCGACGACGCCTCGCCCGCACCCTTGTCCGCACCGCTCCCAAACAACACATCATCCACAATCCCCACATACCTCCTCACCACCTCCCTCTCCCTCCCCAGATCCGCAAGCCTCACGTCCTGCCTATACAACCACCCCCCACCAAGCACCAGCCTGTCGTCCCAGTGCTCCCCACGCCTGCGCCGCCGCTCCTCCTCCTCGTCCTCCAGATCCGACGCCGCCCCGCCCATCTCCTCCAACGGCGCATCCCACACCGGAATCGCCCCGTCCCGTCCCTCCACGCGGATAAACGTGATCGTCGTCTCGGGATCGATCCCCACCGCGCGCAGATCGCTCTCCGCCGTCTCGTCGTAGAACCCGCCCGCAGGCGACGCCCCGCGCGACGGCGGGTGCGCACCGCCGGCTCCAGTAGACGCGTTCGACGAGCCGTGGTCGCTCTGCGCGTCGTACGCCTCGTCCGACAGCGGGAGGCGCGCGCGCTCCTCGAGCTCGCGCAGGCTCGAGAGCACCTCCAACGCCGCCTTGCGGATGAGCGTGAGCGGGTCCGGGGGCCCACCGCCTGTGGCAGCGAGCCCGCCCGAGGCGGTGCGCCGCAGCGTGGGCGGGCCGCCGCCGACGTTGCGCCCGCGGTAGTTGTTGTTGTAGTTCGAGCGCAGCGCGCCGGCGGACTCGTCGGGGAGCGTGAGCACGTAGTTGCGCACGCTCCGGATTGCGCGCGTCGTGAGCTTGAGCGTCGAAAGGACGTCGACGGGCTCCGATGGGATTGGGGCTGTGGCGGCGGCGGCGGCGGTGGCGTCGCTTGGGGCGTCGTGCTTGGGCAGCGCCCAGACTGAGGTGACGGAGTTGAGGTCGTCAGCGACGCCAGGGAGGGCCTCGTCTGGGTCGATCTGGTACGTCTTGGCTACGGGCGGGTATGCAACGTGCCGCGAGGTCGGGATGATGGGGGACGGGGGCAGGTCGAACTCCTTGAGGCTGCCGAGCGATGCTTTGATGCGCATCGAGGCGAGCCCGCCGATGGCAGGAACGAGGTTCTTCGTCAGCTTGTCCGACGGGCTACCATCATCATCAGTAAGCATACACGAGTCGATGGCGGGGATAGTGGCAGGGCGGGGAAAAGAGAACAAGCGTGAACCCCCCGGATCAACAACATCCATCCTCGACCAAAACAAACGATATGAACATGGAGGGAACACTCACTCTCTCTTCGCCTGCAGCCCCGTCTTCGTAAAGTAGTGCTGCAGATGCTCGATGCTGCCCAGCGTCATCACGCTCTGGCGCTTGGCGGCGCTCCGGCTGAACGGCTTCTCGGCCTTGTTGGACGAGTTTGTGTGCGGGTAAAACGATGCCCTCCCGCGCGAGAACCGCTTTCCCTTGTCTGATGATGGACTCGCGCCCGTGTCGGAGTCGCCGGTGGTGTCGATGACGAGGCCCGGGGCGCCTGCGTGGGGTGTGGGGGAGAGCGAGAGCGAGGAGTCGACCGAGCCTGTGACGTCCGGGGTGAGCGCTGGCGGTGACGAGTAGGGGGAGTCGGGGGGTGCGAGTCGGGTGCTCATGGCTGAGTGTAAGAAAGGATTAAAAGAGTGGTCGTAGTGGGCGTAAGATTAAGAGCTGAAAAGTGACTTGGTGGTCGTGATAAGAGTTGTTGAGAGCAAAACTCTGGCTTCTGCTGGCACTTGATCACTCATCGCCATTAAGTCGGACAATCCGTTTCTCAATAAACACGTATGTCATCAGGCACCCGTCCCTCGACCTCCCCATGACAACGACAAACTATGATGCTATCTATTCAATGCAACATACTCGGATGAATAACAGTTAATGAATGAGGGTATCTGTACTTTTTCTTGCACCCACAACAACATGAGAATCAATCGATCAAGAGTCCGTGATGATAAACGCTGATGCCGACGCTAGATTTTGAGCATCCTCCGAACGAGACGCACGTGGCTCATTGCCTCGCAGCCAACGACACCAGCAGCACATCCGTGTCAATTTTCGCAGCTACACACACATCAACACCTTACACCCACTCAAAAAAACACCACTCACATTTCAACACCAGCCTCACAAACCTCCGCGCCACCTCCGCCTGCTCCCTCTCCATCCTCCCCATATTCTCCTCGCTCATCCGCCACAACACCGCCTGCCTCTCCACCACCACCCTTGCATTCCGCGGCTCCCCAGCCAGCGCCGACAGCTCCCCCGCCAGCGTCCCCGACACCATCGACTCCTCGATCACCGCCATGTGCTCCCCGAACCGGTACGACGCCCGCAGGACGCCTGACTCGATCAGGTACAGCCCGTCCGGGTGCTGGTTCTGCTCCCACAGCACGTGGCCCTCGGGCGCAGCGACGCGCGAGAAGAACGGCGGGAGGCGCCGCAGGAGCGCGTCGTCGACGCCTTCGAATGACGCAAAGGCTTTGACGAGGGTGTTGTATGGCTCAGAGGGCATGTCGAGGTGTGTGAGCTCTGCAACACGGCGTTCTCAGCACTCTATCGAGCGCATGCTGATATCAGGCTCACCTTGCGCAATCGTCCGATCTCCAACATCCTGCAACTGCAGCCTCCGTGGCGAGCCCGAAAGAGAATTATCAAAGTGGATTTGGGGAGCCTGCCGCCCAGGAAACGCTGTCCGTCATACGTCATAATACTGGTCGCCTCGAACATGACAGCACTCACCAACAGGCGTCGCCTCCTTCCTCTGCACACGGAACCACGCATGCAAATACGCATTCTCCGTCCCTACCACATACATCAGCGTATTCACAACCCGGGGAAAAAGAGCCCACTCACACTCCATCGCATCATTATACGTCCCAAAAACCTCCACATAATCCTCCGCAAACACACCCACACTCGCCAGCGCGCGCCCCACACTCTCGTTCCCTCCCCCTCCCTCGCCCTGTCCTTGTCCCGCTTCCTGTCTCTGATCCTGCCCCTGGCCCAGCCCCTCACCCCCTCCAACCCCACTCAGCCCACAAAACACCAGAATAACGCCCTTGGCCGACAACAGCCTCTGGATCCTCACAAACGCCTCCGCAGCCGACAGATCGACACCAGCCACGAGCGCAAGATCGACAACGACGAACCGCACCGGGTGCCGCAGCCACGGCGCCGCGTCCACGATGCTGCACAGCGTCTCCTCCACGCGCGAGATCGTACCAAAGAACAGGAAGCCTACGCGGCGTTCGAGTGTGAGCACATATGGGAGTCATCCATGGTACATGCAGCGAACCTTGCAACCGGATAACCTGCGTCTGCTTCGACACCTCGCGGAGGTACGCCCGGTGCGCAGCGGGCCGGCGCACAGTCGACATCGCCGTGTCGCCCGTGTAACACGCGCGGATGCTGCGCCGCTGTGAGTTCTGCACGACGAAGAAGAAGCCTACAACGATAACGCGCGTTTCAGCGAAATCCTCCGTGCGGGCGATAACGAGAGGGGACACGCACAGCTGACGACGATCCCGAACAGCACCCCGATGACAAAGTCCCACACGGTCATGCAGATCATGATGCTGATGATCGTGATGTACTCCATCCTGCACAAAGTGAATCGGCCACCGTTTAGCACTCTGGTACACCGTAGGAAACAGCGCGAGGCCCACCTGCTAACCCGATGCCGCGTATCCCACAGCGCCTCCTTCACAAGGTCAAAACCGAGCACGAAGATCAGCGCACCGACGACCATAACAGCTGCACCGCATCAGCACTAGCACTAGCATAGCATAGAGTATATCAAGGACACTCACGAATATACGCAATCGGCCCCGTCCCGATCAACAACAACACAATATTCGCGATCCCGAGCAAAAACCCAGCCACGCGCGTCCCGCCTCCCACACGATAGAACCTATCAACAACACAAAACCGCTTTTTAGCAGCCCGGAGTAACACAGTAAATGGCAATGACGCACAGCAGCGTGTTCACATAGACGAGATAGTTCGGCCTTCAAAAAGCGCATCAATGTCAGATTCCCATCGAACGGGAGATAAGAAGCATTCCGAATGAACACGTACACAGTCCCAAGCACCCCAGCCAACAAATTCGAATACCCGTGCCCGACGAGCTCCTTGTTCGTGTCGATGTCCTCGTCCAGCGATACAGCTGCACATCGTCAAAACCGGTGTATGTTCAGCACCACATTAAACACAACCACAAATCATCAAAACTAGGCAAAACTCACACAACGCAGGCACATTCAGCGGCGGATGCAAAATGTTGAAAAACAGCAGCGCGAACTGCGTCGGCAGCGTCGTCCACAGCGGCCGGAACTGGATCAGCCGCCAGTCTACAGTGTATCTTCAGCTCTCATTCCCGCGTGCATAAAGAAGAACAGAAGAGAGAGAGGGAAACGCACCAAGGAACGTATAAAACCCATACCACCTGTCCTCCGCCCCGCCCGTACTCGCCGCTATATCAAACAGCCACCCGCTGCGCCTTAGCGCGCCGAGATCGAGCTGCGCAGCCGCGACGACGATGTAGAATATCACCGGGATCACGAGGAAGTCTGCCAATGCGACGATAACTCAAATCAGCTCAAGCTAACCGAACTCGGGAAAGAAGACGCACACGCAGGGAACAAAAGCTGATGATGCACCCTCGCCGTAATCACGCGCAGCAGCACCGCCAGCGCCGCGGGCGGCACCCACAGCACGAGCGCGTGCGCGTTCCCGAAGAAGAAGCGCAGCGTCTCGAGCGACGGGTCGAGCGAGTCGGACTCGAGCCGCGTGCTCACTGTCAGCCTACATGCACACACAAAGTCCCGTTAGCGAGCAGCACGAGGAATGCATGGAAACTGGGAAAAGAAGGGACGGAGAGACGCACCCGGTGATAATCAGAAACACGCCCACTCCGCCTATACACCCGACCAGAATATGCCTCGGAAAGAACCCGATGAGCGCGCCGAGACGGAGCGCGCCGAGGAGGAAGAACGTCAGGCCTGTGTTCCGTTGTTTTTGGTCATTACTTTAAATTGTGTTCAGAAGGGAAGGCATACCAGTGAGAATCGACGACAACGCATACGCAACAATCGTCGTCGCAATCACCTCCCGCGCACGGTCCGCGCCGATGTCCGCCTCGATTGTCTTCGCGAGGATGTGGAAGAACGGCTGTGTTCACAGTTCGTAGTCCCATGATATCGTGTTTTGACATCACATCCAAGTCATCGAACAAACGGACAAAATCCACGGAGAGATGGCCACACAAGAAGGCAAACAAGCAACAAGCGACATCGGTAAGAACCCCGTAAGCGCGGGATGAGAAAAACAAAAGCAAAAGCACATACCACAACCTCGATCATCATACTCCCATTCGCACCCGCAAACATGCTCCCCCCGAACGTGTACACAAACTGCGCGATCACCGCCCTGCAACGCCCATTGTCAATATCGCCAAAACACTCTTTAAACCCTCTCCGACGTCGACAGAGAGAAAAGCGCGGAGGAAGCACGAAAAAAGACCAGGAGACGAAACTCACGACACGAAAAACATCGACACGCCCATCCCGCCCAGCCCCGCGAACACGCCCGCGGCGGGGAAGATGATCATCCCATCTGCAATGCAAATCAGCCAATGTACCATATTAATCCACACTCGACATTCTCCCCGCATCCCGCTGCACAACGGCACGGCACAAAACGCGACGCGACGAGAGCCCGAAACAAGCCCCAACCCCAATCCAAAATAAAATAAAAACACTCACAAGAAACCCCATCAAGCACATTCAACAGCGCCCCCAACAACACCGCCGGCAACGCCCCGACCGCCTGCCTTGGCAGCTCCCGCGCGTGCACACTGCGCATCTTGGCGTGCACCGTGTGTTTGAGCGAGAGAAGGCGCGCCGGGAGCGTTTTGCGGCTTAGCGGCACTGGGGCGGGGGCGGCGTTTGGATTGTTTGCGGTGCCGTTTGCGTGGACGTTGGTATACCCCGCCCCACTGGTGTCATTGGGGGAGGACGCGCCAGAGGCGGCGAGGAGCGGCGTGCGTTCCGTCACGGGGAGAACACCATTCGCGTTCTCGGGGTGCGCGTCGACGTAGGACGGGCGCGCAAAGTCCACCGCCGGGCTGCGCGCGGTCGGCGCGTGCGGCGTGTCCTCGCCTTCCTCTTCCTGTTCTCCCTGCTCTCCTGCTTCTTCAGCGACTCCTTCTCCGCGCTCCACCCCACCCTCTCCCAGCGCCCGACGTTCATCCGTCTCCGCAAAGTTGTCGTTCTCCGCACTGTCCTTCTTTACGCCTCCAACACGGTCACCTGCCCGCTCGCCCTGACCCTGGCCCTGCCTTCGCCGCGCAAGCAACAACGAAAGCCCAGACGGCCCGTTCCCGGTCCCAGATCCAGGCGGGGACGCCCGTGCGCGGGGCGTCTGCGTTCCACTCGTCCCCTCTGCCTGAGCTCCCCCGATTCCAGTGAAACCATTCTCATTCCCAAATCCAGCACCGCTCTCGCTCTCCGCCGTCTCCCCAGACGTCGTACTCAGCAACGTCGAGGTGCTCTCCCCCATCCTGCCCTGCCCCTGCCCTCCCTCTCCCTCTCCATCACGATCACGATACTCTCGCTCCATAGACGACGGCGCAAACGAGATCGCGAGCGGGGGAAACGCGTCTGCGTGGGCTCCACCCACACTCGCGCCTGTATCCCCACCCAGATCCCCGGCGGCGTGCCCCGCCACATGCGGGGCGGGAAACACAAAATCATCTCTGAGCGGCGTCGACCCCGCGACCGACGCGGACGCTGAGCCTGAGCCATACGCCGACACCGAGTGCGGCACGTCCTGCGGCGGTCGATGGCCCGCCGCCCATCTCCTGTCCCCCGTCGACATGCCCAATCCCACCGCTGGTGCCGGTGCTGTTACGCGAGGACCCGCATAGCCCCCGTTGCCGAGACGGGGCGAAGCGCGGTTGGACGGTGGAGACAGCGATGGGGACGGCGACGGCGACGCGTGGAGGGGCATGCTCGAGAGCTGGACGGTGCTCGCGCGTATGGCGGCCTGCGTGTGCATGCTCGGGCTGAGTGCTGGGTGCGCGGCGGCGCTGCTGGTGTGGTTATGGTTATGGTAGTGGCTGGGGTAGTTGTGATTGTGGATGGAGGCGTAGCTCCGTGGCTGGAGGAGCCTGTGTTTATGTATGTTCGTCGGTGCGTGTGCGTGGATCCGGGATTCACGTTCATTTACGATGTCGTGGAGAGTGAGGCATTTGACGAACGAAAAGGCGCAGAGCGATTCGGAATTAAAGCGAGCGGTTTTGGGAAACGGTTGTCCGTTGCAGGCAGTGAGCCGGTCGCCGCGAGAAGCAAGAAGATGGCAGAAGCGGCGTGATGATGGCGAAGATGGAGAAAGCGGGGGAGCATGGGGTTGAGTTTATGTCAGGAGATCGACGGTGTATAGGAGGCAGCGCAGTCACGAGGCGCGTGTTTCCAGAGGAAGTCACGGAAATCAGCGAATGTGGGCAACGGGTGGGAGTAAGAAGCCAACATACCCTGCCCTGTGCAACAACGGCGACTCCTCCAGCGGCGGAGAGGTGAGGGCGAACGCGGCGAAGCTCTGGGGGACGCCCGTGGCCGTGGCCGGTGAGCGCTCGCTCATGACGTCTTCTGGACTAGCATGTGCGTCAGGGTGGTCGGCAAAGGCGAGCTCTGTGCTGTCTGCGCTGGTGGTGCGGTCGTGCTCTGCGAGGATGGGCATGATGCCCGCTCTCGAAATTTGGCGGGAAGAGAAACGACGACTGAAGTGAGGCGGGTCGGACACCGGGACAGACATGATTTATATCTCGCCTTATCTTTCTCCTTTCCACAGTTCTTATGTTCCAGGCCTCCCCCGATTGGTCAGTTCGTGGCCGGCTAGAGTCTAGAGATAGAGAAAGAGGAAAAGAAGAGGCTGAAGATGGCGACGACGGACGATATTGTGCCGCCGAGCGCCGAACATACTCACCGATAAGGAATTTCTTTTCCATCAATTCGTTGTGCTGTCACCAACACGCTATATCGTGACATCATCGGCCCTTGCAGTGTCGCTAAAGATAAGCGGTGTGCCTGACATGCGTTACCCTGTCACGACTGTCACACAAGAATACGCGTCGGGTCACACAGAGTTGGATATGCTGTGACACCGAGGGTTGAACGCGGCCAACATGTCGAACACCATCGCCCTGTAAGCATCCACCCGCTCATCCAAATCATCATTCACTCACCTGCACACCACAGATACCCGCTCTCCAACTTCACATTCAGGTTTGCCTCCACCCGTCTCCTCCACGCGCATACACTCACACCCGCCTACAGCACAAAAGAGGCCCAGCCCGAAGAGGACCCCTCGGTGTCCGCCCGCCTCCAGCGCCTCCAGAACAACTACGAGGACTTTGGCATGCGCCGCACCGTCGAGGGCATCCTCGTCGTCCACGACCACGGGCACCCCCACATTCTCATGCTCCAGATCGCCAACGCCTTTTTCAAGCTGTATGCCTCTCCTCCTCCTCCTCGTATACCGAGTAAAGTTGGAAGCTGACGACGCACAGCCCAGGCGACTACCTCAAGCCAGGCGAGGACGAGATCGACGGCCTCAAGCGCCGCCTAGACGACCGCCTCGCGCCCCCGCCCGAGTCCCGCCAGTTCAACGCGAGCCACGGCGTCGACAACGAGTGGGAGATCGGCGACTGTCTCGCCCAGTGGTGGCGCCCCAACTTTGAGACTTTCATGGTGCGTCCATCCCATCTTCGCTCCCCAATCTAACAACCCTAACTGTTCTACGCTGACGCGTCTACTTGTGACACGCAGTACCCCTTCGTGCCAGCACACATCACGAAGCCCAAAGAGTGCAAGAAGCTGTTCCTCGTCCAGATGCCCGAGCGCAGTGCGTGCCCTTCTACGATACAACCCCTCCGTTCCATCTCACCCAGTTCTCGCTTTGATGCGCACACACACAGAGGTCCTCGCCGTCCCAAAAAACATGAAGCTCCTCGCGATCCCGCTCTTTGAGCTGTACGACAACGCCGCGCGGTGCGTCTTCCCTCTTCTTACCATCTCACAACCTCCTTTGGGTGATCAACTAACGCCGTCACGCAGCTACGGCCCCCAGCTGTCCGCGATCCCGCATCTCCTCTCTCGGTGAGCTGCACCCTTCTTTTTTCTTTTCATATTCCTGTGAGCCCTCGGCTGATGAAGGTGTTTGCGCAGGTACAACTTCATCTACCAGTGAAAAAACGCATGCGAGACGCGAGCCTTGGTGTCGCTCTCGCACTGGCACTACCAAATTCATGAAGATACGAACGCGACTGTGAAGCAAACTGTTTTCTTGCACTGCACCCAGCACCTCTTACGTACACGAAGCTCCCCTCGGGATCGAAGAGAGAGAGAGAGAGAGCCCACGACTCAATCCAACGCATGTACTGTATAATACCGTCGAGATACGATGCATAACGATAGCACAAATCGCGCTCTGAGAAATAATATCACAACGGTTGCGCGCCTGGTTGCGTTCACCAAAAACAATCAACTCGTGAGGTTATCAGAGCGTCTACATGAAATAACAAGCGAGTCCTCGCCCATGACAAAATCAAACAGCAACCAGCAGCAAAACATCACCTCCGCCTTCTCCCGCCCGCACCACCAGCACCGACCACGACGCCAGCACCAGGCGGCACAACGAGCGCCTCGCTCGCGCGCTTCACGTCGTACTCCCACGTCGCATACAGCGTCGCGTCCGGCAACGACACCGCCGGCCCCGCTCCTCCCGCTCCCGCTCCTCCCGGGGCGCCATGCTTCTTGTCGCCGTCCTCCATCCGCTCTTTTTTGACGATATCGCCATTAGGCGCGGAGGGATGCGGTGTGGAGGCATTGGGGCCAGAGGAGGGAGGAAGAGAGGACGAGGACGAGGACGAGCCGTTCCACGGCGCGGGCACGCCTGGGCCGTAGTACAGTTTCTGCGTGCCGCGCGCGAGCGGGGGCGGGGGTGCGAGGCGCGTTGTGCGTGTGTATACGTTTGTCTGTGTGCGGGTGGGGTGTTAGTCATCACGATGGGATTGAGATTGGGGGGTGGTGGAGGAGTGATATGGGTGGTGAGGGAATATAAAAGAGAAAGAGAAAGAGAAAGAGAGGGAAATATGGAGGAGAAAGAGGAAACGCACAGGCAACACCGCCCGCGCCAGCTCAGGCACCCTGCTCCCCTGCACACTCGGCGCAAAACTCGCGCCCTCCCTGCCCAACACCGGGCGCGGCGCCGGCCCCGGAAACAGCGGCTTCTTCCCGTCCCGCCCATCCTTGCCTTCCTTACCCTCCTTCCCGCCCTCCTTCCCGTCTTTGCCGTCCTTCCCAGCAGGCACAAACTCATCCTCAAACACATCCCGCCCGTCCCTCCCAATCCTCACAGCAAACACCGGCCCCGCCCCGCCCGTGCGCGGCAAACACGGCACCGCGGCCCCCGCATCGCTCGCGAACAAGCTATCCGGCGCACTCCACCTCGGGCGCGCGTGCATCTGCGCTAGCAGGCTCAATGCGACGCGGTGTCGCGCGGGCGAGGGCGCTGTGTACCCTCCCGCACCTCCTGCGCCTCCTGCTCCTGCCCCCGATCCTACTCCCCCTGCTCCCCCTGCACCCGCGCCCGAGCCACCCGCGCCCGAGCCAGAACCAGAACCAGAGTTAGCAAAAGACATGAACGAGGAAGACGAAGAAGGGTGCGTGAGAATATGATGATACGCAGCGAACAGCGCCGGCTGCGTCGACGGCGTGCCGTTCGGCGCGAGCGCGCCGCTCCCGCCCGGGGTCGGCGGGGGTGCGGTTGCGGTGCTCGTGAGGCGGCGGTGCGGCACCTTGGGAATGGGATTGGGGTTGAAATGCGAGTGACTGGAACCGTTTGCATGGGGAGGAGGCGGGGCGGGGAGGTGCCATTCGGGCGCGGACGCGAGGACGGATTGGGTGTACGGGATCTGGGAGGCGTAGTCTGCGCCGCTTGACGTTGACGCGGACGCCAGTGTGGGGAGCTGCGCGGACGGGGTCGGCTCGCGTTTGATGGGCGACTGGGACGGCCCGGGTGCGTCGGGGTGGTGCGGGGACTGGCTTCTTCTGTTGTCGTTGTCGTGGATGTGGGTAGCGGCGAGGGACAGTGCGGCACGCGAGGGGCTCGTCGAGGCGCCGCGCGAGGGCGCCTGGGAGGGCGGGGGGATCTGCACGGAGACGGAGGGTGCGCGTGTCGGCGGGGTGGTGGAGGTGTCGATTAGCATGGTGGTGTCTGCCGTTGCTGCCCCATCTGCGGCGATGAGTTGTTCGTCGGATATGGGTATGCCATCTGGCGAGAGTTTCGGCAGGGGCGGGAGGTGGTCGGGGGTGGTGCTTCGGAAGGGGTAGAGCGAGAGGAGAGGCGGGGGAGGGGCGTCGGCGGTCGTATCCATGTTGTCTTCTTCTGCTGAGGCAGCATCGTCCTCGTATTCTTCCTCGTCTCCCTCCATCTGCACGCGCTCAAGCATATCCTCGTTCACTGGTGCCCAGAACAGAGGAACGCCCTCCTCTTTGGGCGGCAGCCCATCTGCCAGTTGCACTGCACATTTCGCTCAGCCTCTGAAGCCACCAAGGCACAAGAGCAGCACAAAACTCACCTCCCCACTCCCTTATCTCCTCCGCCCTCCGCTGGCTCACACCCGTGTACCGCACCATCTCGACCCCCTCGCTCTTGAAATACTCCTCGAGCTCCTCCACGCCGACGCCCATGTCCGTGAGCGCCGCGACGGCGTCCGCCGCAGCCATGTTGGTGCGCCCGGCATGCTCCGCGCGGCGGCCTGCCGCGCCGAGGAGGAGGATGAAATAGCGTGCGAGGAGGTCGGAGAGGACCAGGGCAGCGTGCGATGAGGAGCGGGAGAAGCCCTGGGCGTGCAGGACTTTTTGGGTCGTGGATTCGAGGATGTGCGGGGCGGGGGAGGTGTGTGACATCGTGAGTGAAAACGTGGGTTGAGTTGGGTGAGTGGAGGTGGTGTGGTCAGGGGTGGGGCAAGTGTTGTTGAGCACTTTGACCTGGAGGCCAAAGCTGCTCGGTGTAGAGAGGAGGCGCGCATGGCCGGGCTGGCAGACGCGGGAAGAAACCAAACAAGAGCAAATAGAACACGTTCAAGTGTCCAACGATTTTAGTATTGTGTCAAAACAAGGCCCTCTGGGCACACCTGGATACGAAGCGATGAATATCTGGCATTGGAGAGGAAGCGGGCGGTACAACAGAAAGGTAAAGGAACAAAAAGACTACGACCAAAGCGATATAAGGCCAGACAGGATCTCTTTCGTCCGAGGATTTCATAGTAAGAGATGGGCCACCGGGTGGCCGCGATGGCGTACGATGAATCACAGCAATTGCATTTACGAAAGCGTAAGGTAGATCTGAAACCAAGCCAGTACAAGGGGAAGGAAGAAGACACAGCACGAATTGACCGTTATGGCATCATGAGCGAATCGTATGTCGCAAAGTTCAGTTAACGGTCGCAATCGGTCGTAATGGATACTGGCGATTCCGTTCAATTGCAATCAGTCGCAATCACCTTGGAACGTAATTGCAACCGATTGCGGCTAACACTCACAATTTTGATCGAAATAAACTTTGCGACATATCTAATACGGCCGATTGCAAAGTGAGTCTTTGTCACAAATTTACTAAAGTTGCCGATTGAACTGAGGAAGACGGGATGCAGCCATGGCACAGCAGAATAATCTGGGTGAGTTCGAACTGAACCTTCGTACGCACTCGCCTCTGTGTGGCGTAGTCGAGCATCAATATGGACCGCGTCGCTGACTTTGAGCTTACGGGAATCCAGACATGGCATGCCGTAACTACCCGCCGGAACGTTTGTGTCTGCGCGAACCGTAAGAAAAGATCAGCATCCCACACTCCGTTGAATTTGGGCCGTTTCAATTGGTTATTGTTGATAATGAAGTCACAGTGAGCATTTACCTCTGCGTCCACTTGACAAACTTAAAAGTGAGCTTCGTGGTTGTTGAAGGATGGGGGCCGTCAGTGGTGTGTATCACGAACATGGCATCTGCGTTTGTTGGCGTTCTCGTCCCTTTCCTAAATCGAAACAAAAGGGGAAGGCAGTTCTACACGCGAAAATCGCCGCCGTCCCATCCGAATGCGATTGAACACGTACACGGATTCCGCACACGACAGCGAGCACTTATGCGCGTGCAACAAATCGCGCAGCCAACTCCCTCCGTCGTCGGAAACAAAAGAAACGGCGTGGTGTCGGCACAAACTCCTCAGCTTCTCCTTGGTCACAAACTGATAGTTATCAAGCATAAAACGTACCGATGTCACTGACACAGCAACGGAAAAATAATCCGAGCGCATTGCAAAGAACTTAGACAACGTGCATACAGTGCCGAAATCATAGTATTGCCTCAGAAAGGCACTCGTAATAAATGTCTGCCATTATAAGGCAGTATGACATCTGATACAAACAGAGGAAGAATAAGGATGAGTAGTTTGAAGAGAAGTAATCGCCGACGTATTCGTAGAAAGTGGACGAAGAGAATTGTCAAAAGGCAACATTGTGGCAGATTGTGGCTGAAGCAAAGTTTAAACTCCGAATGAAGTCATTTGTCCATGGAGCCTGAGACCGGCGGTCCGGTCATACCGGTGGTAAGTCGTTAACTTGCGAGACACCTGTCTACCTTCGTATCCAGGAACATTTACATGAATACGCATAAAGACTCAAGGCCCTAGTGGGCACACCTGGACCCGAAGGACGCTATGCCACTTTGGTGGCCACGGAAGGATACTGTAATTATACGAGTTTGTCTACACCACAACCTCTAGCATACATCTACTGGTTTTACTGGCTGTACAAAGGAGAATACATCTACTGAACAATGAGGCGCACTTGGAGGTCGACAGCCTGAATGCAAAACATGGCGCCTGATATTAGTCCCAAATAACTGTTATTTTTTTTTCGACAACCTAGTCATGTTTAGAGGAACGTCACACAAGCCTCAACAGTGCTACCACTGTCGGGGCGTCAACGCATCCAGCCACGTCCGAACACCGCCCACTGCGCACATTCAGAGCACCTGACATTATGTAAATGCGCTCTGAGTGCCCGGAACCAGTAAAGAACACGTGTGAGTGCTGCCGCAGGTGGCGGTGAGACATTGCCAAATTTAGGTGTAAACCCTAAATATTCACGCGGTGCGGGCCATCCGCGCTCGCGGGCCGCGAGCCGGCATGATCGGAGGGATACGACATTTCTTTCCTTACACCTGGAGTCTTCGGCTCCAGGAACGTGCGTCATACAAACTCAGTGTATCTCATCATCAGTTTAACGTCACAAACTAGTACGGAACAAGGTACATCATGTCTCTACCAGACTGTGCCTCCAGTAGACTCGCTCCAATACGAGGTCCCCCGACAGCCTCAAAGAATAGCGGAAGATTTTGAAAGACCACCTGCCAGTGCGCGGGTGCCCCATCGGGATACCATTGGGATACGGCATCGAATATGGCCATCACAGTTACGCTAAAATCTAGTGATCAATTTCAAACAGGCAGCACGGGTATGAGATATACATCACAAAGTAGAGACAGCCGTCGCGCAAGACGACCATCAGTAGCGACCTCCGCCTTTGCTCCCTGCTTAGCCCGAGCTGAAACGATACTGTTCGGGAGAAACCCAGCCCATATAGCAGCAGAGCAAGTAAAAGGCACTCAAACGCAAGTATGGGAACATTGACTAGCATTGTATAGCCTGAATGCATCATTTTAATCTTCATGATGTATATGAGAACGAGATTTATGGCCTGAACTCACGAAGTGGATTATATGGATCGCTCCCAAATTGACCGTATAACACTAGAATCATCTCGAGTGACATGAGGGAGCTTAGGATCCATTTCATCTTCTGGTTGTTGTTGTGCACAGCGCATACTCGGATTACGAAAGTACCTGCGTTTATTAATGCCATAATTTGAGTTTTTCAAAGGCATCTTTACACGGTAACCTCCAAACCTTGTATAGTCACGAGAAAAAAGATTATTGCTACTAGTTTATAACGGCTCACGACCATTGTATATTCTTGGTGGTTGTTAGATGTCTACCTTTCAGGGACATGAATAGTGCCCACCTTGTACGCTATAGATCACATGGAGATGGTCCATTTTGAATCTGAGTAATGGATAAGCTCATATAGAAAAGTAATTTACTCGCCAAGGCTCTTATGTACCAAAGTATCTGTTAGCTAACAGTTGCATCTGAATGCCAGAAACCATGACACACCTCCCACATCAAGTTATCTTGAGACATGATAGCCATTCAACGTTTAGTTCTTGTTTACCAAATTCGCTTCTGCTTGATTTACTCACTTAAGGCCTCGGGTGCAGGATATCTATCAGCAATGAGAAACAAGGCGAATATCTAGATGAGTCTAGAGTCCTCACATCTTAACTCCGTATATGATAACAGGAATCCTCAAAATGCAACGTCAGCTTTCAATAGCTAAGAATGTACGGGAGTGTACACACATAAGGTATACAATTCCCAGGTATCGACACTGTTTCCATCAGCTTCTTCGTTCAGTTCTCGAGCAGAGAACATCACTCACAAGTAAGTACGCCACAGACGAAAGTGTCTTGGGTCGTTGCTGAAGAAATATGGGTGTGCAATCAATGTGCAATCAGATCTCGACTCCGTGAAGACGACAGAATAAACACACCCAGACGAGGTCGACTTCCGCTGGAAGCGACCCCACTGTCAATTCAAGGTGAGATTTTGACCGCACGGTGTATTTCTCTGGTACGAGATACCATAATCATAAAGAGCCAAACTCAGTAATGCGACTGCTTGACAATCCGAGTAAAGTTAAAGCCAGCAATATATGCCAGTCCTGTGAATACACGGACCTTGAAGTCTACTGCAGAATTGAATATACTGGACCGCCGAGATGTTGGCGTTGTCAAGTGTTTGGGTATTCATTGCGGTAAAAGAGGAACAATGATACGAGTGAGTCTTGAGCCTTGAGCCTTTATACTTATCTTAGCTCTGGTGAGTTTCAAATTGCCATACATCACCTGAACAGCTCCAGTCGAGGGTATACAGACAGGTAACCGGGCTAGAAGCCATGCCATTTGTATTTTATTGCGGTGCCCGTGCACATTGTTGAAAGTATCTAGTTTCAGGAGTTCTCATCAACGGTGGTTCCTTACGAGGTGGCTCTCGCTCCGCTCCATTGGCAGAGGTAAGAACAGCTTAGCGGTATGTGATCTAGATGTTCACACCGAATCATTTTCAGTTGCATGGGTTGATATACTTCTCTATCTTGATATATCAGTCCGGTTATTGTGTAATCAGACTAATATCAACGGGTTTACGATACAGCAGGCAGGACCCGTCACGTTCTATATGGCCCACAAGGACGAAGTATCAGGTGCGGAAGTCGGAGGAGCAGCGGGAGAAGTCTACATTCAGGACTTTTTGGGTTGTGGATTCGAGAATTTGCGGGGCGGGGGAGGTGTGTGACATCGCGAGGGAAGCGTGGGCTGGGCGGGGGGAGTGGTATAGTCCGGGGTAGGGGTGGATGTGGTTGAGCGCTCTGACCTAGAGGTCAAAGCTGCTCAGTGCATGAAGAGGAGCCTCTGAGACGCACATGGCCAGGCTGCCAGACCCGCCCAGCGCGCGTTTGTTCAAGATGCCATCTATGTCGCCATCTTCATCCCGTTGTCTATTTTCTCAGCGGAGAAGTAGGGCAGACACCGATCTCGAGAGAGAGCCTTAGCACATATCCCATAAATCTGCTACCGCATCGTCAGTATCACAGATCTAGAGGTCATCGCCTTAGCATTGTCCTCTCATGAACAGCGACATGCTTTGGCGGCAGAACACCTTCCATTCAGAGAGCCATTCACACGGGCCTTACTTGCGGCGCAAGCAGGATCATGATGTTCTCGGTGAACATGCCTGAAACACATATGCTATGCTTACAGCACCTTGATCCTCTCAGGCGTCATGGTACGCTTCCCAGGAATGTACCTATCTGTCTTCTGATATCAGCCATTCACAGAGCAAACTGTCCAAACCTATGCTCATACGTCGTGATTGCATATCCAAGAACTCGTGTGCTCTGCACGCGCTGGGGTCCCTTGGATAGTCCTCAACGGTAGCGTCTTTTACTGGGTATCATCGCCTCTTCGAAATCTTGCTAAATAGTTCTGTCTATAATCACACATTTCGTCTTTAAATGCTGTGGAGCCGCTTATAAGCGAATCCATTTATAACGGCGATTGGGATCCCTTGACGCTCGGATACGCTGACCACACCTTGTCTCTGTGTAGTCTTTGTTCACCAACCATGTCTGAATCAGGATCAAAGGCGTACGCAGCCGGCGTTGAGGCATTGAGATTAGAGGAGATCAGATTTTGTACGTGAACGGTCTGCAGCATGAAATACTTGTTTTCATATTTGCCCTTTTAGATGTGGCCGCAACCTTCGTTGCCTACGATTATAGTGAGTAACCTCATGTTTATTATCAGTGACGCAAATCCACTTTGTATAGTTCTGTCTCTTCGATGAGGTATGCACTGCTTGAGTGTGGCAGAATGAAATGCTGACAAGCGATTATCTTACAGATCAACTTCATATGGGTAAGCAATATACTTTTCTGAATCGGCTATCTAGTGACCCATTTCTCAGGTGAAAAATAACGTGTCTCTGTCGACGGGCCTCTACATTGTGGTAGGTGCCCTCTTTCAACACAACTTTGTACACAGGCTTAAACTCAGTTTCCGATATTGAAACTACGCTACTTGGGACTCCTACACTCGATGTAAGTGCCGTTCCCGTTTTGTAAGTGACCTTGAGTTGAGTCTCAAGCGTCGTCAGCTCTATAACTTGTCAGATGTGTTTTCTCTTGCGCCAGACTCTAAAGCACTCATCATTTCCGCAGTAATTGACACGTTTCAAGTCGTTAGTATGTCTCACAAGTGAGAATTCCACGACAATGTCATATATATTAGGCAGGGGCTGACAAGGACTGCTTTTCTCAAGGCGTGAGTTTGAAGGTTTTTGGTGAATTGTTACATAGTTACATACTCAAACACGCCGCGTTTCTTGTAAATCCAGATGTAAATTAACCATATTGTGATATTCGATATATGTACTAACACTTTCATATAAGGTTACGCAACATATCTGGCCTCCATTATATCTATGGCAGTCATTGTATCCATGTTGCAAGGCAAGATCTTCAAAAAATTGAACAGTCGAGAAATTTTTACTGTGTTTCTCCCCAAGGAACGATGATATTGAGACTGTATGCGCTGTACAACAAGTAAAAGAAATTGCTTTACCTCTTGTCAGGAGCATTGTTCATGGAGCAAGTGGCCTTTGTTACCCTTTTGGTTTTCGAGTATCGTTTTGTCTCTGGTGCGTAGAACTAGTTATCTTCGGCATATGTCCCTTGCTCTGAAAAGACACTTCAGCTTCGGAAGAAACCAGGCTTGCTAGGCTCCCATATCTGCCTAATATATATCACAGTTTCTTTGCGGCTGCTTATGTCAAGCAATATTGTCTTGTTGACATTTCACACAGTGGCTGCTGTCTTCACACTGTATCATTTTATGGTCTACCGCAGAGAAAGGCGATAGCCCATGTCTATTCGGGACATGTTTTTATCAGACAGCATCAAGAGATATAATCTGCAAGCTTGGCTACCACGCGAATTTGATCCAGTCACAGGTCGGTTCGAGTGCAACGATGACTTCTCCGGGCAGAACTATGGATGTACTACAATCACTTGAGCTTGAAGCTTTGGATACAGCAGAATGTATATGTAGTGTTGGCAGGAAACAATTTACGTAGAAATTCCGTCGTATTTTCTTGTTTTGTAGATTATAGTTTAGTTGTACAAGTACGTGACAAGTGCGTACCTCGCAATTCCAGTTAGGTACGAGTTTCAATATGCTCATATGGGACCTTCACGATCGAGTACATTGCTATACGTGGCTAATTGCGGCTGACCAATTCTATGTGTTTCGTCCGAAGCACTATCCAGGCTCTCTACTGTTATGGTACTAAAAGCACTCGATCAAATTAACGTGACGCTACGCGCTGCGCTTGATGCACATGCAATCCTCGAGCAACAAACAACTGCGCACAGCAGTGTGTCTGCAGTCAGAAACACGTTCACTGCAAAAACATATGTACCTGATTTTCAGGTATGCACAAGGTACGTGACTTCTGATTCTGTTAAATCATGTGTTCTTGACATGATTTTGAAGTCAGGTACATGTACCTGGTATATAAAATCATGTACTGTTACCTGGAACCACAAAATCATTGTCATTTGCCAATGCTGGTTGTAGACACAAATAAAACTCCCATTTAAAATCATTGCATTATACAATGAGTTTCAGCATTCATTAACACTAGTGAAGCTTCCTCTCCAATGCCATTACTACACCCCATATGTTGCAGTACGCGTTGTGAGTGATTGTGGCAGGTTATTGATCAGGACAACTGCTGCGCGAAGTGCGTTGAAGCGTGAGTGGACTTGCTAATTTTGGGCAGAAAATTCAAACTCCGACGCAAGCGGCCTGCAACGCTCAGGACGGCCTCAACGTTTCAACGTTTCAACATCCATCCAGCACTGCGTTGACTATAGCAGAAGAGCGCAAACCCTTCAAAGCTTCGACCAACACCAATACCATCTCCTCAGCAGTGCCCTATTCGCTCTAGACGTGCTCGCTTTGCCGTTTACGCTCCACATGCAAGCTCAAGTCGTCATCCCAGGCCTTTCATCTTCCCCATCAAGTTCCGACACGCCCGACAACGCCCCAAGGAGAATGGCGAAATTGGTTCTTCGAAGGGAGCTGGTGAAGGATAGCTGAGGCGTTCGAGATGGTGGCGGCGTGGTGTCAGTTCCACGAGATTCTGTGAGTGCAAGAATATTCTGGTGCTCAAAAGGGTCGGCTTACCAAGTTCACGAGCACATCTCATCTCGAGATCCCAACGTCGTCGTGCTGAACTGCAACATCAGTAGGCTTGTCTGCACCAGCGGACACGATTTGCTGCTCATCGTGCTCGTATTGCTCGGCACGAGCACGAGCTCCGAAAAGCACACTCCATCCACCAGCTGGGTCTACGACAGCCAGCACGCCCATCGTTCGGAATGGCGTCAACAGACAATCAGTCCTTAGAGACAAGCAGGTCGACCTAGCCTGGTCAAGTTCGTCTGCTGTGAGTATCCGTTCTGTCCTCCTTTCTTCGCTCTTCGTGCAAGCGCGCTTTCAGATAGCTGAGCTCACGCGCTTGCTTCACAGTTTCGGTTGCTGCACCCTAACTCACATGGCTCCGATGGCCCTTCCACGCAATACTCTGCCCTACCTTCCTCAGGTGTATCAACGGCGATGGCGACGAGCTTGGATGGTGACCTCAAGCCTCACCAGCCCGTCAAGTTTTCTGTTCCCTCAAATCGAAAATCTTTCCAATCCTAAATGCGACCGCCACCCCCAGAGCCTCCATCTGAACTGCCTCCGCCTCCACCACCACCCGAAGACGCTCTTCCCCCTCCCCCTCCGCCGCCGTCACATCCACCACCACCACCACCACCACCACCACCTCTGTCGCATCCTCCACCACCTCCACCCCCGCCGCCGTCGTCTTTACCGCCCCCGCCACCAGCAGACCCGCCCCCGCCTCCACAACCTTCCTCGACACCGCCTCCATCACACGCCTATCTACGCCCGCCCACTCGGAAACCGCCACCGCGCCGGCGTGCGCTCGCCCTCCCGCTCGCTGTCGCCCATCTCGCACCGGCCAGGTGGGAAAGCCACGCGGCAGCAGCAGCAGCGCGAGCAGGACACGGTGGTGCTCGAGGCGTTCGTGTGCAACGGCAAGGAGCACTTCAAGCTCAAGTTCAACAGCGGGCCCTGGTCCGTGCGCGAGGACAACGTGCGCAAGTTCTTTGCGGACTTTGCTGTCGACAGGGTGCTGCACGACCGCCACGCGTGGTACGCGACGTTCAGCAATGGCACGGACACGGGAAAGCCAATTGTGAGATCGGGCCCAATGGCGCAGATCCAGTAGCTAGCTACATGTTGCGTAGTGCATTAATAGAATTGATTTTGTCCTGATTCTTGTATTTTCTGTCGTGTGATAAATGGTCTATTCTTCCATGAAAACTAGTCATTCTGCATGCGGTCTCGCGTTTTCGTCTACAAAATCAGGTACATCTAAGGTGATTCGGACAATTGAATCTCACAAAAATGACAATGATTGATTTTCGAGCAAGCACCTGATTATCACAACAAATTCTCAGGGTTACTATGTATCTAATGAATGATAACCATAGATTTTGCGCCCGAATGGTGCCCATTATAATCAGGTATATCCATCTTCACAGTGGTTCAGTGGCGTACTTCACAAGCGGAAATACTCACGCCAGCGCGGCGGCGCCTCTTGGAAGCACAAAGAGGTGTTCTATCATGGTGAGGGCAGTAGAATATAGGATATATTAAGTAACAAGAAGATTCGACAACAACATGCCCGCTAAGCGCTCCACACAAGCTCGACACCGATTTCCTTGATTTATGGCGTCAAGCTCAAGACGAGGATGAGATATGCATCGGCTTTGACCAGGCCCGCCAGGAAGAGAGGTTCTGTGGTGGATGTCACGGTTCTTATGATATCCGCAGCCTGCGGAACTGGTTTCCAGTTTACCGACATGCTGATTTAGTGGTATTGAGTTCATAAAATATAAAGCACGGTGAACTGGCAGAAACTACTGGCAAGCATAAGCGCATCTACTATCACGTTCCTTGTATTTGTTTTTGCTTTAAGCGAGTCGGTGCCAGCGTTTTCATGTTATCGAAGGTAGGACTTTGCTTTTCATCCATATAAGTATGTATAACCGCCTGACATACAAACTTAGTACAGCCGTTCATTAATTGGCTGCCCATATAAAACTAGTACGGAACAAGGTACATCATGCCTCTCCCAGACTGAGCCTCTAATAGACTTGCTGCAATACGAGCAGAACAGCCTCGAAGAAAACTGTAAAACTAAATACCACCTGTGGTGGTACCGCATTGGAGTACCATTCAGATACGAAATTGACTATGACCATTGCTATCACACTACAAAACTGTTTAGCCGAGAACAAGCGGGGTCATGATTATGAAGTATACATCACAAAGTAGAGACAGCCGTCGCGCAATACGACCATCAATAGCGACGTCCATCTGTTCTCCTTGTTTAGATTCAGTTGTAGCGATGCCGTTCGGGAGAAAACCAGCCCGTATAGCAGCAGAGCAAGTAAAAGACACTCGAAGGATAGTATGGGGACGTAAACCAGCATTGCGTAGCCTGGATGTATCATTTCAGTTCATCATGCACACTGAGGACAAAATATCTGGCCTGAACTCACGGAACGGATTATGTGAATTGCTCCCAAATTGGCCGTATAGAGTTACAATAACCTCGAGGGATAGGAGGAAGCACAGGATTAACTTCATCTTGCTGTTGTTGTTGTACACGGCACAGACTCGGATCAATAAAAGAGCTGAGTTTACCAAGGTCAGAGTGTGAGTCTTTCGAAGGCGATTCTACGGAAGCAGCCTTCAAACCTTGTGTAGTTGCGAAATTTCAAGGCAAATACATAGATCACCTAGAACTTCAGAAAAAAGGGAATATACCTGTCGATCTCCTACTCACTCAACTCGGGTACATTATATCTTCTAACAAAAGTTAATAGCACTATCATGTAGAAGAGTCGGTGGCAGGCGGACTGAAATTACTCACATTTTAACTCCGTATATGATAACAGGGATCCTTAAACACAGCGTCAGCTTACAGGGGAGGAGAACGTACGGAAGTATACACACGTAAGAAATACGATTCCCAGGTACCGACACTGATCCCATCAGCTGCTTTGTTCTATTTTGGCTGAAGAATTTTGCTCACGAATAAGTACGCCGCAGACGAAAGTGCCTGGCTCGTTTCTGAAGGAACAGAGGCGGGCAATCAGATCCAGATCCAAGATACTGATTTGCTGAAAATGTGGACTGCTAGGTTTGCTTCCAGGTAAACTCACCCAGACGAGGTCGATTTCTGCGGGAAGCGATCCCACTGCCCATTCAGCGTGAGACTCGAATCGCATAGATAAAATGTGCGGGGAGGAGATACCATAATCGTACAGAGCTACACAGAGTAATGCGACTGCTTGAATATCCGAGGCCTTGGAATCAGTAGCGTTTGCTAGTTTTGTTGATATACGGACCTTGAAGTCTGCTGCAGAGCTGAAAGACTTGAACAGCAGAGACTATGGCCTCATCAGGTATCTGGTTATCCATTGGGGCAAAAGGCGGGAATGGTGATACTAGATTGGGGTCATCGCGGTTTGTATGATATCATATTTAACTAGCCTTGTGCGTATTGCCATTCATCGCCTGAACAGCGTTTTAATCGCTGATACATAAAAGGTGAGCTTGTGTTTCATTGCGGCTCAGGTGCGCACTGCCGAGAATATGTGTTCATCAGTAGCTATCAATATCCCGAGCAGTGTCTTTGAACACGTCCAAGCTCAAACGAAGATAGTTGATCAGTGTTTCAAGCAGTACTACTTTAAGCATAAAACCTCAGGTTCGTTACGCGCCACGCGGGGCCCGTCAAGTTGAACTTGGATTGCTTTGTCACCAGCCTAAATTCGCACCTAACGCATACAAATCACAGTAGTCCTTATTCACTACATGTCGTACGACTCGATCGTCGTACCCAACCAAGCTCCTTCGCCTTTTTAACGACAAGACTGGCGATAGCCACGTCCTGCAGACCGATACCGACGGATTTGAAGATCGTCACATCAACCGCTCTTGAGTAAAAGCTCCTCCGTTCTTCCCCTGAGTTGATGAGCTTCCCGATCTCGACGACATTCTCCCTCTCGTATCCAGCCTCGATCAGCTCTCCTGCTTCTGCGAGCGCTGCTTCTGCCGTCTCGACAATGACGGGCCCAGCGCGGTGTACGAGCTCGACACTGATTTCCTTCATGTGGGACGTGAAGCTCCCGATGAGGTTGAGATGAGCGCCGGTTTTGACCAAGTCCGCCGGGAAGAGAGGGGCGGTGGAGGACGTCGCGGTGCATATGATGTCTGCAGACCCGACCACCGTGTTTGTTTCATCGACTGTCCGCCTATCTCCTGCGTGTGACTGGATGATTATGGTAGGATATGCGCGCTCGAGAGATGTCGTGAGATCCTGCAGGCGGGCGTTGTCGGATCTGTTGATGATGTGGCATTCTTTGAGAGATGGGAAGACGCGCAGGAACAGGTGTGCGTGTGCTGCTATTTGCTGGCCCGCGCCGAAGAGCACGAGGACTCTGGGTTCGTAGTCACGCCGGGGCCGGGGGAAGGAGAGGGCCAGTTTGGTTGCGAGCGCGGATCCTGGATGATCACCAGAGTATCTCAGCACGTGAGGTAGAGCAAGAATGTGCGAAGGATACCTGCGGCATTTCTGAGTGCAGTGAGGCTACGTGCGTTGACGATCGCCTTGGCGCGGCCTGTTTGTTCGTCTAGTACGAGGGTAGATGCTGGGAGGCCACCGGATTGAGCGACGGGGGAGGTGGGCACAGACACGATCTTTATGGCTGTTCCGATAGAGGCTACGCGGGATGGCATGAAGAGCGATTTGTGATGAGACATGTTTATGGTTGTTCGATGCGGAAGACAGTAGGCCTCTTCAGCGGAAGGAGAGCTTGAACGGCTGACGGTGCTGAAGACGTCGACCATGGATTGTATGAGCCCGGTGGGCGATAAATTGACCGTGATGCGGTCGACATCTGAGGCAGACAGGACGAGCAGCGACATGGCCGATCTCAGAGGGAAGAGAGGCGTCCGAGGGTGAAGGGATGGGGCGACTGTGGTGGTCGTCGGTCAAAAGGGGCTCCCTTCCATATAGAACGGCATAAATTACATAACGAGACGGAGGTGGCGACCGTTGTGGTCCTCGCAAACCGCGCCTCCCCCTTCCTCCCCACCTCATAAACCTCTTCCCGTCCCACTCCTCCACGCCAGATTTTCCATAAGACGACGTCAAGCCTCGTGCAGGCAGACTCGTCGAACACAGACGTCATTTCGCCTTGTTACTGGTACCGAACGTCGTCAACAGCTATGGCACCGAATTCGCTCCGTGATCCGGCTCTCTCTTTCTCCCTTTCGTCCGTCTTCGCCTTCATGCAAGACCCACAAGACGTGGATGCCTCTGGTATATTCGACGACGATGGTGGAAAGGACCCAGGCAAGGCTCTCAGAATGCGAATCGTCGCCATGGCCATCATCTTCGTCGTCTCCCTCTTTGGTATGACTTCATGCTCCGCCGAAACCCATCCCTGCTCATGTGTATGATCTTGTTTGAACAGCGTCCTCGTTTCCTGCACTGTCTAAGCGCATAAGAGCAGTGCGGATACCGCGAATAGTGTTCTTCATCGGAAAGCATTTTGGTACAGGTACGTAACCGTGACTTACACCGGTTCGGTGGGGCTGATGCGTATTTGTCAGGCGTCATATTGTCGACGGCGTTTGTGCACCTGCTTCAAGACGCTTTTGAGTCACTCACAGATCCAGAGGTGAAGGCGAAGTGGAAGATAGGCGAGTATGGAGGGTTGATCGTGTGCGTCATTCGTCTATGCTTCACTAACGTGCCTGGCTCACCTTCATCCTTAGCCTATGCTCCCTTCTGGCCATATTCTTGGTCGAGTGTAAGTTACCACGTGAATCCTAGATCTTTACATAAACTGGCTGACTTTTTTCATCTCTAGACATCTCCACGTCCTTCGTGGACCAGCTCCAAGCAGCCAGCACACCCTCCTCCACGCCCAATGACACCAGCCCCGAACGCACGCCCAACGGCACCGACCACACCACCCGCTGCCCCTCGCCAAAACCACTTGACTCCCACCCACCAGACTCCGAGCACACCCCCCTCATCTCCAACGGCTCCTCGAACCCAGCCCAGCGCTCGCAGACCTTCCACTACGGCACCGCCCACCACCACCACGCCCACGCCCGCCTTCACGCCCACGGGCACGCGAGGGAGAGTTCGCCGTCGCAGGATATATTCGAGGGGCATCATCGGCACGAGAGGCGGAGCGCGCACGAGTCGCACCATGATCGCGGGCCGCGGTTGCCGTCGATGTATGGGCCTGAAGAGTTTGGGCAGGGGCAGGTCGCGGGCGTGGGGCATGTGCAAGAGCATAGCGGGCATGCGGGACATGGGCATGATGGTGATGAGGAGCTGGGAGGGGCTGGGGCTGGGGAGAATGAATGCGATCGTGGTCACGAACACGACGACGAGCACGGGCGCGCGCATGATGGTGGTGGATACCATCGTCATCATCATCATTACCATGGGCATCATGGACACCACCACGGGCATGCTCACGGACATGAGCACGGGAATGTCAAGGTCGGGGAGAAGAGGCAGATCGTCGGGATTCTCGTGCGTGCAGTTCTCTGTCTGTTCTGGGGAACACGAGATTGATGTTCATTCAACCAGGTCTTGCAACTCGGCATCATGCTGCACTCCATCGTCGTCGGCCTCACCCTCGCCATCACTACCGGCCCCGAGTTCGGTACGTCCTCTCCCCTTCTCTGCCCTCCTCTCTGTCTTTCCCTACCGCCTCGCTCACATCTTTCGTTTTTTTTTTGACACAGCATCCCTCCTCATCGCTCTCATATTCCACCAACTCTTCGAAGGGCTCTCACTCGGCATCCGCATCGCCTCGCTCCCCTCATCGCGCTCCAGCATCTCGGCCGCGCCGGAAAGCGGCATTAATAGCAATAGCATTAACGACAACAGCAACAGCAGCTTCGGCGCGCGCCACCTCTCCGCGCTCAAGCCCGTGCTCGCGGGCTTGTTCGCAGTAACGACGCCGCTGGGCATCGTCGTCGGCATCCTCGTGTTCTCCGGCGGGTCGAGTACAGGCGGCAGTGTCGAGGACGAGCGTGCGTCCCATTACCTTTCCTTTTCCCTTGTTTCCTTCTCTTCGCATTGTCATGCTCAGCCTCCGTATACGATCGAATACTAACGCACGGTGCACAGTGCACATGCGCCTCACGCAGGGCGTCATGTCCGCGATATCGGCGGGGATGCTCATCTACGCCGCGTGCGTCGAGATGCTCGCGGGCGACTTTGTGATGGACCCGATTCTGTGGCGCAGCGGTGTCGGGCGGCAGGCGCTCGCGCTGCTCAGTCTCGCGGCGGGGGTGGTGTGTATGGCGCTCGTCGGGGCGTAGTATCTGTGTCTCCTCTTCGCGACGTTATCAGTTTGTGGGTCTGCATGGAGAGCGAGAGCGAATAAGGATGAGGTTCTCTTGTGAGACGGTTCAAATTTGTATCCTTGACGTTGTACTTTTTACGTGGCACACCCGAGACTAGATCGCTTATTCTCTTAGACTTGGGGCATATTATCGGTCCCCTCTTTTCACATCTTAGGTAGGGCTATCTAGTTTCCAATCGCGTGGTTTAGAATACACGAGGCCTTATAATTAGGTTTGTTTGTAATACTGTAAATGCGGTTTGCATAGTCCGAGTCCGTGATCCGTCGAAGCCATGTGGCCGTTGTACATACAATCGAAAATTGCTGGAGAGAGCGAAGCAGCCGAACTCAGTTCTGACATAGCTTAATCAATATGGGACGAGATAAACCGTGTTTCTCCCCAAGTGAGCCTCGATCAAGCTCGTAGCGATCCGAGGACCCAATACTGCCTCTAGGAAAATCACGATATTGATCACATATTGCTGCAGAATTAATCAAGTATTAATCCCTTTCTAAATAAAAAGAATATGCGACCAACCTCCATAAGACCACCCGTATACCAATAGGACACGGCGTAGGCAACGTCCGACAGGATCACACTGCCAGAAACACGGGTTTTCTGAGCTAGGGGGCGCCATAGTATATGTGACAGGAAATACTTACATGACAAAATAGACGCAGCCATCGCGGCAGACTACTGCGACGAGCGATCTCCAGCCTCGCCGATATTCAGATTGGGGCATTGACCTTTGCGACGAGATGATTGCACGCAATAAGAGGCCGAGCAAAAGACATTCGAAGAGTAGGACAGGGCCGTTGACGAGCGTCACGAGGACTAGGCCGGTGTCAGATTAATATCCCATACAACGCCTGGGCGCTGTACGAAACACTGGAAATATTTTTGGACTTGACTTGACACGTACATATCGGATCTGTAGATGCGGACCAATGGTGTCCGCCGAAGAATACCAAGAAGGCTTCGATGAGGAACAGGGTTCCGAGGATCCATTTTAATCGCCTGTCGTTGTTGTATATTGCACATACTCGCATGAGGAAAACGGCTGCAAAAAATATATAAGTGATGATAGTGAGCAATCGTTTCGGGAAGACCCAAAATAGACCTTGAATGATAGCTAGAGACAGGGCCAGCGCCACCAGCTGAAACGCATGGAGACTCCCGTCAATCGCTGCTGTGAGCAAACTTCAGCGCGCCGTTCGTTTGTTCTTCATTTTACTCGCACTGACAGGGATCCCCGACGTCTTTTGGTTCCGATGGAGACTTTCCCCATGACGAACTAAGCTCTGGAAGAACATCGCTTCTAAAATATGGTTGACAGGACACCTTCTACGCAGTGGACAATGGCGCACCTCTTGACGCTGATAATGACCACAGGAACACTGTAGAAAAGATGTCGGCTCAGCGAAGACCCAAGGATACCTTGATGACCTACGCCAAGTATACCATTCCAGCATATCGAGCCTTGATGATGATAGTTTTCAATTATCACGTAAATGCCACACACGTTTTTACTTACTATGACATATGCCCAGGATAACAGCGTAAACCGCCTTTTCTACATTCAAGAACGAGAGAAGTCCGATGCATTAGGTTTGTGTCACACAGACGCGTTCTTCTTAATGCTGCGCACCCAGATAAGGTCAATCTCCTCGGGGAGGGATCCCACTGCAGGTGCGAACGAAGAGAATGAGCTCCATGTCGTTCATAACCTTTCAGAAACTCACAGCAACCATACAATGCCGCACAAAGGAATGAAGCTGTTTGTAAAACGAGTCAGAACACGGGTGGCTGCAGAAAGCATGAACGGCAGCACCTTGAACCTGGCTGTAAGTCCGAGAGATTCCAGCGACTGACGAAGGGACGCCGTCGTATGATAGTCCTGCGTTCATATATCTAGAAAAAGGAGCCCCGCAAGAGTCGGTTCACGGGCACCGCGTCGACACGCTCATATATAGCGCCAAGAAGGCAGAGCGTGGGGAGCGAATAATCGTGCATGAGGATCGGGACGGCCTTGAGACTGTCCAAGTACAGTACAAATAATGGACGAGAAAGGTTCCATCATAGATCTCAGGGTGATTCTCCATGCTACAGAGGATCCATCCGCGACGCTTCCCTCTTGAGTCTCTTGAGAATGATGCGATGACGTGACGGTCATGATGAACTCGCAGCGTGAGAGCTGCAAAAGTAACCCCCCGAGCTTCCCTGCTTAGCCACTGCCAACTCACTGAAAGCACATTGTACATCCGCACCAATTCGGCCATTCTCGTTTCAAAGGTCACAGCTTGAAGGGTAGTTCAGAGAGTATGCCAGCACGTCGCAGATCAATTGATTGAGTTCATGTGGATACAGGACATGCGCAAAGCGCTGGCAGAATACGCGGGGAAAGGAAACAGGGCAAGACTAAAGTATTAATCGTATCTACAAGCAGATGGTCGGCTTTTGTTTGCCGTTGCTTGGTTGCAGACTCCTATGCTCTTCACAGCACTCTCGCTTGCTGCTCCGAAAGACTGAATGCAGGACCCGAGAAGTGCCCCAAATCACACTTCCGCACCCGTTTACGAAACGCTGTTAAATGTGGGCCGTGTCGGTTCATGCCCACAAGACGACGGGATCGACCGGTTTGTTGAAGCAGAATTGTTCGAATGTGAGTTGTATTGAATTGCAGAATACATTGACCAATCGGAACGTGCGTTGGTGTCCCCTCTGTCGATGCATTTTCAAGATCCAGAGCCCTACATCTGCTAAAGTCCAAATGCATTCAGACGATTTCCTGATGGCAGGGTCAAGTCCCTGGGCCCTTTCATCTATAAGAGTGGGCCAATCGTCGCCCAAATCTTCCAGTCCCTCATCATCTCCCTTCACCTCGCCTTTCCCCTCCCTCGCCCCTCGTCATCATGCGAGTTGTAGTACCCTATGTACGAAGGCATTGTCGTTGTTAGTACGAGAATTATCGCCAGGTTAGGGCAAGCGAGTCCGTCAAGGCGCCCGCAGAGCTCACGCTATTTCTCTAGCCTGACCAACGCGTCATGATAAGTTCGTCATGAGTATATAGCCTGGCGCGCTCAGTCAACCGATGGTATTCGCACTTGGGTGCGTGTGCTTAACGTCGTCTACGAACAGTGTGTCGGCTCCTGTCCGATGTTTTTGATCTGGCGGCGTCAGAGTATGTTCGCGGCCCTATTGGAATTGTGCTTCCACTGTCCTTGCATTGCTATCATCCTGTTAATGTACTGTGGTACTAAAATGATATTGTACAAGACACGCCTCCGGCAACCTTATGATGTAGGGTAACAAACACTCATACCATTTTGGTAGAACGGGACACGAATACAACATACAACAAAACATACAAAGAACAGTCAAAGTAAGTTGTCATTTTTGGCAGAGAAGTATCGCACTAGTAATAACAGAAGAATGGTGTCGCCACGGTCAAAGTAAGCTTTCGCGATGACGAACGCGACCGTGTCGTTGGGGAGCACTTGATCGCGCTTCGGGCTGTAAACACGAATCTTAGTAGGAGCAGAGCGAGTTTGGCTGCAGTGGAGCACGGAATCGTAGTAGCAATAAAACGTGAGCGAACTGCCGTTACTCTCCGAGCGGCGAATGCCATTTGCGAGCCCGAGCATGCCCACTACAATTGCGACAGACATGTTGGAGTTGGCGGCGTCGCACAGTGAGTCGAACTGAAGGGATGCTAATGCTGGTGGGGTCCAAAGCACTCGTTTTAAACCGAGAGATGGCGATGGGCGCACAACGCCAAGGGTTCCTCGCGAGGAGAACAATGAACAGGGGGGCGTACAGTGAATGAACCGCCGAGCCGAATGACCAACAAAGAGCGTTCAATTAGTCACGGCTAAGTTACGCATCAGTACAAACAGGGGGTGGCCGGACCATTCGACCCTCTGCGACCAACGGTGGTTCCAAACACGACCAAACGAATAACGGTAAGAAGGTTAACTATACGGGAAATTCCCCTCCATTTCCGTCTAAATGCCGAAGAGTAACGGAGGTGTGTCTTGTGGTAAAGTAGAGAAGTGGAAGAGGAGAATGCAACGAGCACGAGAAGATGCGGTATAGTAAGTTAGAGTCGTGAAGAACCAGAGAACGATGCGATACGATGCAAAACAAGTGAGGATTCAGAGAATGCGGTGGGTATACAAAAATATGGATAGTATATGTGATGGATGGAGTTGACGAGGGGAGGGGATGGTAGTACAAGATTAGGGGTGCAGAGGAAAAAAATAGCAGGAAAATGTTTTGGAAAGACATGGAGAGATATGGAAACAAGGAGGCGACAGTCATCAATCTATTTATTTTACTGACGCGACGTACCAGCGCGCGTCCGCGACCTCAAAGCCCGACCCGAAGAAGCAGCGCCAGACCCAGACACAGACCCAGAAGCCTGCGTTTCGATGGTCTTGCCGCTAGGACGGATGGGCTGCATGCGCCCCGCGCGCCTCGAGGGCGGCTTCGTCGAGCTTGATCTGGCGTCGGCAGACTCGCGCTCGTTGGTGCGACGGCGCTTAGAAGGGCGAGGGGTGTTATTGTTAGAGTCGGAATCCGAGTCGGAGCCGGAACCAGAACCAGAGGAGTAGCTGACGAGCTGCTGCATGACTTTGACTTTGGACGTAGGCGAGATCCCAGCCTCGACTTCAGCTTCGGAGTCAGTGTCAAAATCAGAGTCGGAACGGCTGCGCTTGCGCGAGACAGAAGACCGCTTTGAGGGCGATGTGATGAGCTGCTGCTCTGCCTCTTCCTGCTTGATTGCCACGAAGGTCGTCTGATCGTCCATGGGAGCAGATTCATGAGCAGAACTAGACGGGGCAGGCGAAACAGGAGCGGGAGGAGCAGGTGCAACAGGGGGGAGAGGAACAGAGGCAACGGGGATATGGGTACGTGAAGCCACCGGGAAGACAGGGTTGGCGCGCGCAGCGATGGCCATAGGGCTGAGCTGCCTCTGCCTGCCAAAGTCGTCAAAGTAGTAGTCGTCCTTCCCAGCTACGTTCATCATCGCGTCCCAGTCGGGCTTCCCGTAGAACGCGCCCTCGCGCCGCGGCTTGCTGCCCCAAGCGCGGCACCACTCGATGTATTCGGGCGTCGGCGCATTCCAGCTCCTGGAGACTCCACGTGGGCCGGCTAGGTTGTACGTGGCATTGGCCCGCGAAAGAGGGGGTGAAGTCGACCTCTGTTCAGTGCATTCGTATGTGAACTGGTCGTGACCCATGGAACTGCGAGGAGAGTGAGGGGCGTTGGCGGTGACACTGGCGTTGCTGTTGCTGGCCTCGAGAGGGGGAGCATCTTCGTGGATTAGGCTGTGGATGTCAGCACGGAGAGACGCCGGTCTATGATTGGGTGTAGCCGCAGAGGAGCTGTCGTTTGAACGTAAGAATAAAGTTGGCATAAAAGAAGAGTCGGAAAACTCACGAAGACGAGACACTAGCATCCACGTTCGGTACATTGGCCGCAGCCACAGCGGCAGCGGCCGCCGCAACGTAATCGCAACGCTCTTCCGGACTCATTCTCACGAGAGTCTCGGTGACAAGTCTGGCAGGAGCAGGAGGCTCCGGCTGCATCATAGCAGCAGCCACTAGTCCGCAGTTGTACGCGTCGTCCATCATACCCATCGTGTGTGCGGCATCTGAAACATACACCAAGACATTTTGAAGCGATCTACGTGCCGCAACAGGTGATTATTAGCTCGTTCCACCCGGCCTAAGCTGTAGAAAACTCACTGGACAGAAGCTTGGAGGCCCTCAACGAGGCGATAGAGAGCAGCCTGGCTGTGCTCCATAGATCCGAGGCGGTGCGATACGACAGCCTCAACGTGTTCGCTGATATAGCGTGCTTGCAATGCTAGGTCGGACGTGTATGCCACGGGAATGGTGGGTGAAGCGGAGATTGTTTCATTGGACGCCATCTCTAAGATATATCTTTGCTCGGGTCCAAGCTGGAGTCAATGGACGTAGGCTCGAGAGGATGAGAGTTCACAGAGGGGAGCAGAGAAATGGTGGGGCAGGAGATCCGATGATGGTCCGAGTGGATGAAGGAAAGAAAAGGCAGAGCAGACGCGAAGGCGCGTCTTTATACCCCTGTGGAAAAGGGCGGCTTGGACGAACGTGACACAAAACACGCGTTCGCGACCCCATTAAACCTGTCAGAATAAGCGATGCGCATTGGTCCTGCGCTTTGACCCTGTCGAACTCTGCTTGACCCTGTCACAAACGGCCTAAGCGAAGTCAACCTAAGACGGCTGGCCTCCGAGTATGGACATTAGTGGAGTGTTGCTTAGACCCGGCAGACTTCGGAGGGCGCGCAAGCACAGGGTATGGACGCCAGCGGGTGGCATGGGGGGCGAATGGGGTACTCACACAAGAACTGAGGTGGTCAAGGCGCAATAAAGAGCACGAGTCATAACCTTTCCATTCCAACAGACAAACCAAGCACTTCAGGGCGGCAGTCGGAGCTAGGACCATGCGTTCCTTGCTGCTCTTGTCTACTCAAGGGTCGTCTGAAGAACCTGCGGGCTGGCGCGGACACAGTTGAACGCACCGCGCGAATGTGGCCTGGTTCGTAGAATGTCCTTGCACGGTTGAGAGAGTATCAGGAGGGCTTAGGAAAGGCGTTGCAAACTGGTACGCAGATAGGCCAGAAATGTTAATGAGTGCTCCGGCTTGAAGCTTCCGAAGGACGAGCAAAGGACAGGACAAAAGGGACGCGAGCAAGGTTGGTGCTCGGGAGCCGGGACCGTCAACGCCTCCACGTGGCTTGAAAAGCCGCGGAACCTATCGGAAATCGGAAGTGGCAAGGTCGGCTTTTGAACTTCAATATTTGTTTGGTCCGCTCCCGCTTCCGCGCGTGGCAGCATCTCGCCCGCCTGATAGGGCGCCAACATTCGATACAATGCCCAGGGAGAAAGGTCTTCGACGTAAGGCCCCATGATAGAACCGCAGCGAAGTTCTCGAATGCAAACACGGAGGACTCGGGTCCTCAGCATCGTCACAGTCACCATGGAACAATTCGGCATCGAGTTACCTCTGACTAGAGCTTAGGAAGTACGTCTGTACATATCCTTGCGGCTGGAGCGTGTTGAGCTAGATGGTTTCTGACTAGATAAGGTTCTTATGGGACCTGGGGACTGAATTGCTAAGGGATTCTGAACAAACATTGGTGAGCGGCCCCAGGCGCCAGGATATTTTCATCTGTCCACGCCTCCCATCTGCTAATATCGTAGTAAAACTCTGATATCTGACTGCAGCATCGAAGTCCTGTATTCATTTCTTCTTGTTCTCCTTGTCTTTGCCATCAGCGCGTCCGATCACACGACTAAGGCATCACCAGCGTCAGGAATGGACCTCACTCCAACCTCGCTCGTATCTCCAATGCGCAGAGCGTGTGTAGGTGACGAGTCAACTAAACCTCAGTTTCGATCGATTTGAACGCGTAGGATGTCTTTTAACACGGAGTACGGGTCTATTCTATGGACCAACGCCTAACCCAGCTTATACCAAGCTCGGGACAGACGACCCGAGAGCCTAATTTGCAACCAGAAGCTGAAAGGAGTAGTTCGAGTAGAAAACCGATCAAGGAATAACCCAAAGCAGCGTCGTTTAAAGTTTGCAAATGAGTCTGGGGAGTTGTCGAGGAAGCTTATCCAGAGAAAAGAGCCATGATCGATGGTCGGGTGCTTTGGTCCGACTCGGAGACGGAGGTCGTAGCCGAGAGAAAGTCCTTAGCATTGTACCTGCTTTATGATCTTTCGTGATTAGGACAGAGGTCTATAACCTGAACGTTTGAACGGACTTACCTGCTCCCATTGAGGTTTCCCCCTCACTAAAGGATCATAGTTTAACACTTTGGGATTTGGCGCAAGTCAACTTCTACTCTGTGAGGTTAGGAATTGAATTCGACGGTTTTCAACCCAAACTTACAATCATTTACTACCCATTTTCTAGAAGTTAATAGGTCATTGACGGATGATCAAGAATTGAATATGTGCGCGTGCGCCGCGTCCGATGCTGCCTTCAACTTTATGTCGCGATCGATTTTCCCAAATCTGCTATAGCGCGATTAGTAGAGGGATGCACTCAGCCAGATTCAGATATTTTACAGTAAGCGACGTCATCCTAGTGACATCAAGGCGTCAACACAGAGGCTGTGCTGAAAACTCGCTTATTTGTGTAGAGCGGGCCTTGGCACCCGACCTTTGGACTGCGGCCCCGCCGTCACTTCCCTTCTCCACGATGGCTTCCAGCGAGGCGGAAGAATTCTTGATGATCGTTGAGATGCAGCTCATAGAGAACTACAGTCTAGGTGAGTGTCACACAAGCGTCGCGTCTACAAACTGCAGTCTAATATCGGGTCGGGGTACTTCAGTAGCCGCTTTTGCAATGATGTCGTACGACTATCGTACGTACTGGCCTCCAAGTCTTTCATCATGACCGATAGCTGATGCTCATTAGTCCTGAATCTCGGGTCGGAGGTATGTTCTCCCAGCAGTTCGAGTGTATTGAGGTACGAATGAAGTTTGTTCAGATTGAGGTTATATGGGTCAGCACGCCACTCTTGCTGAGTTTTCTGAGGTCGTCTCACCGCAGAGTATGCAGGCCAGCAAGCTCACGCCAATAGGGATAGTATATGTTCTGGTATGTGCCATTCCTCATAGATGCCGGTGTCGTTAACTGCATATGCGTATCCACTTAGCTTCGCTACGTTGGTTTGATGTATGGGGTGTAAGTCGTTTCACGCATAGTTATATTGTATGATTCGGAAAGTGAACTTCCGAGGGTGGCAGGTCAAGGTTGTGTAAGTGCCACAAGTACACTTTCCAGCGCGAAGCTCAACAGTGCAAGATCACCCAGTGCAAAGTCTGAGCATACCTCAGCCGGGAACAGTACGTGGTTTCATGTCTGCCTTGAAGGGGGAGGACCAATCATTAATTTCAAAACAAGACGTAAGTGTATTTACTCTAACTCAGCAATCTGTCTTTGTACACTGTTATCTCAGACGTAAGAGTCTTGTCTCTAACTGTGATAAGTAAATTAAGCCTTTGTTTTCAGCTGCTTTCTTGGACTTGCTCAACACGACGAGCCAGACTGTCGTGATCTTCTTACTTCAAGGTGACCAATCTATTTGAGCGATCCTCATTCTCTCTGACACCCGACAGGACTCTTAGCTGCACGTGTATACGCTCTTTATCAGAAGAGACGGTTAATCCTGGTCATTTTGGTGATCGGCTTCCTGATGTCTCAAGCCATGAACATCTTGACAGGCATCGTTGCGGTTGTGGTTGTACCTGGCGAGATAGGTGCGCACAACCTCAACAAATTCACATCTGAACCACTGTCTAACTCTTTCTCGAGGACCAATACGCGTTTCGGGTGTTGAGTTTTACGAAATTTTCACGACTTCGAACTGGGTATGGATGTCACCGGCGGTCAACAGCATCGAGCTGGCGTACGAGCTGCTTCTCGGCGGCCTAGCCATACGCTACTCGATGAAGTACCTCCCAAGACCATTCTGGAGATCTCCATGGAGCTCTACCAGAACGCTGGCTGAGATCGTCGTCCGCGACAACTTGGTGTATTTTCTGATGTACGCGCTGCCTTTGTATTCGTTGGACATCGGTACCTAATCAGATTTCAGCGCTCTTTTTGGCATCGGGATCAACATGTTTAATTACGTCCCGGCGGCCAATAGCGTAAGTGACCGTATCTAGCTTCTGTCACGAGAGTGTTCGTTCTGATTTATATTTATACCAGTCCGTTGTATACGGCGGTGTGATGCAAATGCTTCAGATCATGTTCCTTTCCATGATAGGTCCATGGATGTCTTTAAGTCTCCGCGAGCATTACAAAAAGGATAGCAATCAGGATCATTATAGCTATGAGCTTACTTGCGTTGACTTTGGATATGGACCTCGCTCGGTCGCTCCGGCTGATATCGGAAGTAGCTTTGGACAGTAATGATGCAACGTCATCACAAGTATCAATTACAGTAGAGATGGAAGGCATCCTGTTCAGTCGATGTGACCAATAACAAAGGCAGATGTTACAAAATGAAGTAGACAACCAAGTGTAGTAACGATATGCGATTATTTGGAGACACGTCCCTGTAGATACTTGCTAACACGGACTGTGTTTGGGGGGTTCGGGGAGGTGGGGCGCCTATAAAGATGATTGTGACCTGCAAGAATGTCATTACAATGGGAAGGATGATATTGTCGGGACTCCTACATTCCTTCCTTCCTGTCACCAATCGTCAACAGGAATTACGGCGGGAATAGTATTACCAGAGGTTGCAATTCCACTGGCTACTGCACCAGGGCTGAGCTGCCGGGGCTTCTTGATCTGTGCTCCCTGGAGCTCTGCATTTCTAGAAGGTGTAATGTCATTGACACCTTCAAAGTGAGGGATGTGAATGGCTTCTGTAAAGCCCATAAAGATTATAGCAATAGCAATGAATGGGCGCATGGACTTTCAAGAAGGATTAAGTGGGTGACTTGAGTTTTTCAAACGAGAATGTCGCCTATGTCAGTTTTTGAACGTCACGTGGAGAAGCTTTGCGGAAGAAAGAGATTGAAGGCCTGAAGTTTGCCATAGGAAAGTGTCCTTTTATACTAATGGCAACTTTCAAGATATCTGGGGCTATAATTTCGTATCAGGACAGCACGTTGACCATCATTTGCACAGTAAGTAATAATAATACGAGAATGTAATGCAATGATGCTGTACTTTGGAAACACAGGCTCAAGCTACTTTCGCCGAGCCAAAACACGGAACACTGAGTGTATCTTATTTGTCTAAGGTGTGTATTGCCTTTCTGATCCACACCTACCATTTGGCAGGCACTCCGACCTGAGCGCGCAGAGTGCAATGATGACTTCGATACCTACCGTCTTCTGTTTGTCACAGGCAATACCTGATTGATCTATTCATCAATAGCACTCGTAACTATTCACCGCACGGCACAAAATATCACGCCGGAACTGGATCCAGTGACATCGGACGTCCGGCCACGAACTGATTGATGCTCAATCCGGGGCGTACATTACGGATGATCTCTGTAATAGATTAGTTTGTCCTTCTTCCTAGTAAGTGTACAAGAACGAAAGATCTTTATCCGAATTAGTTGATCACCAACCTTCTTGCTGGCTGATGTCCTGTGAGAACCCGCTGTGCAAGGATGTGCAACGGTCGCAGGAAACGTACATTTTTCGATGCAATCGGGACGCGAGGAAACCTGCACGGGATGGCGACGCGTGGCTGGGTTTGTCGATGAATGCAATGCTACTTGATGGCATCCCGTGCCCATTGGTGCTGTCCCTGGTCGCGAGCATATTACCCAATATTCAGTATTAATGTCTGGCGCGTGTTGCTGTACTAATCTGGCGCGTGTTGCTGTACTAATCTGGCGCGTGTTGCTGTACTAATCTGGCGCGTGTTGCTGTACTAACCGTATGATTACCGTACCAATGTAGCCACATATCAGTATTCAGAACTAAGCAAGTATTTTCCTCTTACAATTGGAATTGAAATAATTTCATCCATACCGCGCTCACTGCATCCCACATGTGCGTACGTGCGCTCATCTGCATCGATTCGGTCATGATTATGAATAGCGAATGTAACGTACGCTGATATAATTCTGTGCAGAGCGGACATTGATTATAAAGTTACAGGCGCTGGCAAACAAGCAAAATAGAAAAAGGGCTGAGATATCAGATTCGGCATTCTGGTGATGCATGATATAGGTTAGAGGGAACAGGAATTAAAAGTGCTCTGGCCAAAGCGTCTCTGATTAAGAGAATTTTATGCATACAGTGACCTTTGGCGAGTTTGGCAAGGAAGCGTTATAGATTATTACACACTCTGAGTTATAGTGGCATTAAGAGGAAAATGCAATACCACTCGCGAGATGGTTGATACTTTTGTTACAGGAAGATGGTACCAAAATACTACATACTGAAGTTCAATATCTACTTCGAGCCATTTGAATGGAGATAATTGATTACTCACATAACTTCAAGTCCAGCTACTCATAGTATCTTCACATTTTGCCTCTGGTGGCCCGTTATCTTGAAAGCGGCCCGTGAATGCATTGAATTCTCTTGCCGTGTCAGTCCGCAAGCCATGGCTTCTGATATTGAGAATGATGCGTGGTCCGATAACAGCAGTAACCACTGTCAGCGATATTGTGCGGATGACAGCTCCGTCAGCCAAGGTCGTCTGTTGATACAAAGCATAAGATAAAGGTACACTCGCTGAGAGAATTGGGCTTACAAGCGCAGTCAGCTTTACTGTACTGAAAACGATTCGAGTGATAAACGGGAAAGCAACTCTGGCGTGACTGTGAGCGGACCAGGGGCCTTGCAAGCTTGTATCAAAACGCACATTAAATAGCATAGGATGTTGTCCCGGATAAGGATAATGCGGAGATCTTTCGACAATAACATCTCTTGCAGAGACAGAAGCTGCTGCCTCTGCTTGAGGTACACCACGAGGTGATACAAGGTCAAGACAGCAGCCATGGTGTGAAACGCCAGTACGACGACATCGTTTGACACAGGAATCCACCAAGCAACTGTTATGGATATGCTGCAGATGTGTGAGCCTAGCAAGCTTTCTTCGACAGCTGAAGTGTTGCTATTAGAGTTTTTAAGGCTATAATAAGGCCATCAATCTACTCACCGGAGATGAATCGATATTCGTAAACCATGATGACAACATTTACCGCCTGCTCCGCGACCAAAGCTACTGACAGAAGGGCAAGAACTTTCCTCGATTTCATGTAAAGTGCATACAGCCTTAAGATCATTGCACCTTGGAGCAGAAGCAATGAAAATCAGCCTCTCCAACTTTATGTAGAGATTACCTTGCAGTACGAATACAATTATCACCATGGATAAGTCGTAGGCCAACCATGTTGCGTAACCTAGTGTACCCATGTCAGGATATTGAAGTTTGAAAATTACGCTTTGCTCACATCTAGTTTTGTGCACGACGTGGTATGTCAAAGTGGAATACAGAAGGGACTTTGAACTTACGCCTGAGAGATAAGAAGAGCCATTAGCTCATGTTAAATCTAGGACATATTGAAAACTCTGACTTCAAGTTGGCTTGACAGGATAACGGCTTGAAAGGTGTAGTTTACTGTGGAGAGTTTCAGAGACGAAGAGTTTAACTTTGAACAGAAATTGTCTGACAAATCATAGTGCTGACAATAATTCAGATTGTAGATCACTAGTAAAGAAAAACATGGCTTACATCGAGTATAGAAGTCCCACGTAACGCATCTTGTATGGGCTGTTGAGACGCTGTACGTTGGTTACCGGAGGGCTACGCACCACAATGTAAAGACCCGTTGACAAGGAAATTCTCTTCTTCTATCCTCAAAGCAATCAGTTGATGATGAAGAAGTATCGATGACACTCAAAGCCTTTACTGACCCATATGATATCAGCCTTAAAGATCAATACTTGTCAGTGCCCTTTGCTAACGAGCTCAGCTCACACGCACCTCTTCAAATACACATAATACTGCACAGTAGATGAGATCAATATTCATCTATAGGAAAGTACTCACTATAGTCGTAAACAACAATAGTCATGGACACATCTTGGGATACAATATAAGAACGAGGGCTCGATAGAGACTAGCCACATACAAAACCCGATCTCCTCAATTCTCCATCAGGAAAAACCTCTGACCAATAAAAGAGGGAACATGGGGAAACATGTCTGAAATTTGCATAAGTTTTCGGCGTGTGAGTAATGGGCAACAAAAAGGGACAATTAACTAAAATTGCAAGAAGTTCTCCAAAGTTTTGGATGAACGATTTGCGGGTATACGGAATAACAAAGATCTCAAACAGGCAATGCTGGTTATAGTGTTGAGCTTGATCAGAGAAAGCAGCTAGTAATATAGGTTCTTGGATATCTCAAAGTACGAGTACATGTCTTTGAATGAATCAACATAGAGTGTCGTAGGTAGCTAAGTCCACAGAAACACTCAAAAGCGCGTTTCAGCCACAAAAAGCAAGTATATAGCATAAAGTAAGTAAGACTAGCAAGTACAGTTGGTCCAGCGACTCAAGACCGTCAAAATGTGCCACAGCAAAGTTCAAACACACTACCAGATGAAAAACATATACTCACATTATAAAGTGCAGTGCGTGGGAGCCCTCTGTAGGGTGGCAGCCCCGCAGGGAGCAATCCTGTTGCACAGTGCTGAGCATGCAATGCCAACTGCGCTCAAAGCCGCCGCTGCCGCCGTTGCGACCGCCAGCAGATGCCCGTGGGCAGAGGCATGCAAGGCCACCCCAAAAGTTGAGGACGGCGACTGAGGGGTCCATGCACACATTTATATTGATGACGAGGCGACAAGAGGTGGCGAGGCTATATCAGTCGGGGGATGCTGGTGGTGTGGTGAAC